TTTCTTTCTTTATTTTCTACCCAATCCACTTTGGAACATTTGCGTTCCTCTTACTCTTTGCCACCCAGATACCTATACACGACAGAAAAGTCACGCCCCTTGCAGTCCTCCCGCTCTGCCGCCTCGTCGTACACCTTGAACGCCGCATCCGCCAGCTTCATCTGCGCGCCCGCCTCCTCCGCCGCCACCATGGCCAGCCTCAAATCCTTCTTCATCAGGGCAATTCCGAAGCCGCCCGCATAGTCCCTGCCCGCCGGCGCCGTCTCGACCACGCCCTTGACCGGGTTGTTGACCTCGCTCGGCCAGCACCGGCCCGTGCTCACATTCAGCACGCCCGCCAGCTTTTTGGGATCCAGCCCCCACCGCATGCCCAGGTTCATGGCCTCGGCCGTCGCAATGTTGTTGAGCGCCAGCAGGTAGTTGTTGGCGAGCTTGGCCGACAGACCGGCGCCCTGGTCGCCGCAGTGCAGCACCTTGCGGCCCATGGTCAGCAGCGTGGGCTCGAGACGCGGCAGCAGCGCCGCGGGCGCGCCGAGCATGAAAGTGAGCGTGCCGGCGGTCGCGCCGACGACGCCGCCCGACATGGGCGCGTCGGCAAAGACGCCCTGCTGCGCGGCGGCGACCGAGGCCGCGACGGCGCGCGACGTCGAGGGGTCGATGGTGGAACAGTCAATGAAGACGCGGTCGCGGCGGGGCAGTGACGGGGCGAGGATGGACTGGTACACGCCCTGGACGTGCTGCGGCTCCGGGAGTACGGTAATGACGGTATCCTGGGGGGAAGAAGAGGGGGCTTTCCGTTAGTGTGGGGTGATCTGGTGAGAAGGCCCGGGGTTGAGGGTTGGTAACAAACGTACGGCTTCTTTGGAGGCGTCGTGGGCGCTGGCAGCGAGCTCGACGGCGGCACCCGTAGAAGCGGCCTTCATTTCAGCCTGCAGCCTCTTCATGGCGTCGCCGTTGATGTCGTAGAGCGAGACCTTGTCGCTGGGCTGGAGCTTGGATTGGAGGTTCTTGGCCATTTGGTAGCCCTATTTGACAGTATTAGCTATGCTGGGCCCCAATTCAGTCCGCTCCCTGGCAAAAGTCGCGCGGCTTATGTGTTCGCAGACCCTCTTGTGACTCTGCAAAAAAAAGAAGCAAAACTCACCATTTGGCCGAGGCCGATAAAGGCGTAGTTGTCGAGCCGTCGAGCCGTGGTCGCGAAGCCCCTCCGCTGGACCACGCCGCGGAGCATCTGAGCCGCAGCCAAACGCATTGTGGTTGTAAAATCAGTCTCGTGTGACGAATGGGCGTGCAAGGTAATGAGAACCAACAAAGCTCTTCGACCGACACGACTCTTAAGTAGAGAAGAGAAAATAGTCAAGTAAGCGACAAAAGACAAACAAATGTCCCCGACAAGCCGTGGGGGAAATGCACCTTGCTCATGGTTGCTCCGCTAAAGCCGTCCATTGCCGTCACCAGCCATTGAGACAAAGAAAACGGCGCTAGAAGCGGTGGGGCTGGTCCAGCTCGGAGCTCGGGGTCGCTTTTTGGCGTGCGGAGAAAACACGGGGTAGTTGGTCACTTCTTAATTTACTTTATTAATAATTAGGGGACCCCGGAAGTCCATGTTAATTTTCTGGGGGCTAAATACCAATATCATTTGCACCTCATCATCTGTGCCGAGAGCATCTACGCGCCTTTGTTATCGTGAACCATTCTGACCAGAGTCGCAGCCGGTCATGGCATTAGTGACGTCAGCGCCGCAAGGCCTGGGAGTTCATGACGAAAAAGACAAGCTACGAAATAAAAGAACCAAGTTGCTCCAGGGTCCCTCCAACAACTGCATCAGCGCCATACTCATAGGTTACCAAAGCAGCCAGAAACCTATCGATATCGATGCATTGTTACTAGAATTCTCGCTGCGGTCTTCGCTGCAGAGCTGTACGCTGTGGAAAAGTAAGGCTGAATTTGATAGTATCAACGTCGCCGAGTGATGCATCGCCGCACCGGACTTTCACAGCGATGAATTTTTTAGTCGACGCCACATCTGCATGTACCCAAACCGAAATTGCGCAGTCACCTACTCGCAAGAAATGACTTTTAGCCGAAGGAGCGTCGAGTCGCAAGCCCCGGACAAGATTTCCATCCATAAGCAAATACTGTTCTTGAACTGTGATATTATAAGGGTAGCTCCTTAGTAGCCAATCTGCTATCCATGGTTTTCATATTGCGCCTGTGTGTGCCCTTGTGTATGTGAATGCAGAAACTCCCATCCTCGTATGCGAAATATGCCAAATAATCCAATTGTGACCCAAGAAAAACGCCAAAAGAAGGTCTTTTATATGACCGACAGGAAATATGTGAGTGAAGAATTTGTATACATCTTGAAACATTCCGCCTAGGCAGAAAGCGGCACACGGCCGTTGATGCCCGAAGCGTTTCTCGTCATCTCTGGGCGCTGCATATTGTACTCTTCAGGAGTACGTTCGGTAATGGGCGACAGAATCTCGTGGACACCGTCGCTCACTGGCGGCGTGCGAGGGGCGCTGAGCGCCGTTTGGTAGTCTGGAACAGGCCCCCCAGGCGTTTGCACGCGTGAGCGGGCCGGCGTACGCACCGCTGTCGCATAGCTGGGCACGCGATTGAGCTCGGCAAACTCCTCAGGGTCAAGGTGTACGTGCTCTGTGGATGCCCGATCAGAACCATCCTCTTCACTGTTGCTGCGCGTCAGGTTATTCGACGGTGGTTCCGATCGTGCCGCCGAGCCGGTTCCGGTGCCGGTGCCGGTGCCGTGATTGGGAGAAACGCGCCCTGAAAGCGAGTTGAGCGAGTAATATGATGTGCTACGCTGCGACGGATCCAACGAGACATCGGCCAGTCGCGAGGACAGTGCGGCGGGCGCAATGGGCGACATGTATCCTCCAATTAAATGCAGATTTTCCGCAGAGCCGCTGCGCGATTGCGCGTAAAACGGACTACTAACGCCTGACTGCAGAGCTGGCGTCTGGAAGCCGCTGGTGTCCATATCTTCATACAGCTGGTCAAGAATATGCTCGCCGTAGCCGGGAGGAGCAGCACCAGCTGATTGCTGGCGAACACCTGCCTCGCCAGGAGCTTGGTTGACCATGTCGCCCTGCTCATTAAAGGGAATGTTGGGTGAGATGAAAATGGAAACCGGGAGTGTGGCACGGAGCTCTGAAATGTGGCCGTCGGGATTCTTGAGGGCTACCGTCAGCTTAATTTTGTGTCGCACCTTGATGCCGTGGTGGTTCAGGTCCTGTATGCATTGGCGCAGCTTTTTAGGCAGGCTCAATTGTTTGGTAAGAGCCCAGCCCTCTTGCCCAGTCTCCTCAATCATATCATGCCAATGCTCCTCGCGCGTCACTTGGAATTTCCATGTCGCTACGTCGCGCTCCGTCTTGTGCTCGCGAATGTTGATACCAGTAGAGCCCTGAATGACACATTCACGGGTTTCAATCATCTTGGCTGTCACTTCACCCAGCTCAAGACCTTTGAGCAGGGGCGTGAATCGCATTTCCATGTCGACAACGCCCCCGAAGACGACAGCCTTTTGGGGAATAACAACAGAGTATTCCAGCTTGTTGGGCCAAATGTTTTCTACGCTCATGGCATGAAGAAATTCGAGGGCGCCAGCTTCGAGCGTACGAATAATGCGAAGGTGTTTGTAGGCGTGTAAGTCATAGGCAAGCTTGCTGCGGCTGACGGTCGCTTTGAGACGATATGTAATCGACGCTTCGGGGATACCCTCGACGCTTTCCGACGTGTCACCGGGGAGGGTAAAGTCGAAGGGGTACTCGTAGTTGCCGGCGGGTAAAGTCATGCTCTTTCCGTGTGTACCGACAAAGGGAGCCCATCTGTGATCGAGAATCAAGGTTGTCTTGTCCACCTTTTGGCCGGCGACGGCCGGAGTGCTAGATCGGGGGTCGGCCCAACTGTAGTTCATGACGGGTTAGGCTTGCCAACGGTGATGCGGGACCGGCGGCGCGGATCGGCCAGCCGAGCAGGTACTTACGAGACACGGTGTGTTCCTGTCAGACGCAAGTGTATGTCCTCGATGCGCAGGGGCTGTGATAGGCAGAGAACGACAACGCCCTTGAGAAGCTGGCCAGCAGATTCATGGTCATTGCCGCGAAAGACGATAAAGTCCTGGTCGAGGCTAATGAAGCGTTAGTAGGTTTGAAGCGTGGCGCACAGATTGGCCAACGGCAAAGCTGGGGGGAAGGATAGAGAGAACGTACCGTATGTCAAAGAGGCTGTAGCTATTACGTCCGGTGACGGAGGAGAAGGGATTAAAGGTCGGCATTTCGGCCGAGGGTATTTTGCGTCGCGGGGCCAAGGCCGCTCAGCGCTTTTGTAAACGAAGTGATGGCGCAATGATGCAAAAGGTGGGTATGTCAAGTCAGAGCAGTGCAGGAGTGTCGGATGATGAAATGGAAAGAATTGAAGAATTGAAGCAATTTCGACGACGGTTGTCTTGTTGGAGAAGAGGTAGACAATCCAGGCGAAACCGGCTACAAGGGTAATCGAGGCGCTGGTCAGTGTCAAAAGTCACGTCTTGTCTGGCCCGTTTGCGCCTTGGTGGGGTGGTGGTGCCGGTCCGGTTTCGTGGCTGTCCGTTTTTGAATCCGAATGTAGGCTATTGGGGTTGGAGGCGTTTAGGCGCTGATTGTATTGATTCCAGCTGTTGTAATCGGGCCACGTTGGGCTATTTGAGCTGGAGGGCGAGTATATTTTTTGAAATGGGATGAAGGAGCAAATGAAGAGGTGATTGAACAGAAAGGTTGAGAGGAAATGGGTCAAAGGAAAGAGGGCCAGTACGACGGGCGAAAGCGAAGCAAGTACCTTGCTAGCAATGAGTTACATAGATACCGATTCGGTACAAAGTACCTTGCAGTGAGAAAAAAAAAAAACCATAGATAGTTGGACAGCAAAAAGACTGGAGACCGGAACTGATTCGGAGATGGGATTGGGATGCAAGAGAGTGGTCGAAACTGCGGATGGGACAGCAAGTGGATTCTGGGCGCTGCAGGGTGGATTGATGGGAGTGGATGCGATTGATGGGAGTGGATGTGATTGATGATGATGGGTGAGTTGGGAAAGGTGAGTGGACAGTTGCGATGCGAGGCTGGATAATATGAGAGAGGCGAAGCAGAGTGAATGAGTAAGAGGATGTAACGATGCGAGCGGCAGTCGGCAATGTCTGAGGGAAGGGACAGAAGAAGACAAGTTTCCGATTTATATTATTCCTTCTTTGATGGGATAAGAATAGAAGATAGGTACGGAGTGGTCAAGTTAGAGGAGGCGTTGATTGGTGGTTGACTCGGCAAGAATACAGTACATCAACAGGAAACTGACAGGCATGAACAGGGCATCTGCTGAATCTTCAGGGCGTGAGCAACCGTTACAAACGCTGTAATCACCACCCACCCACCAGTTCATGCACGATGCACCCAGCCGTACTTCGTACCGCCTTGGTACATGTCCGTTACCAAGTGTGGCCGATGTTACAACTTGCTTACTACGACTCATTCGCAGTAACACAACAAGTGACGTTCAATGAACATAGTTCAATTTTTTTTCCCCAGTCATGTTCTCGAATAAATGCGCGAAAGAAGTCGCACTCCTCGCTCCCCCCAGCGAAAAAGCCCTCGTCCACTTACGCTACAACCTCCCCCTCTCAGGCAGCAGCATACCAGACGAGATGTACCATGTAAACCATAATACCATTCATCCCCCCGGGGGCTCGAACAGCTGCTCGCATATGCTCTCTATGCAGACTTTTTGACAGCTCGGGTTGCGCCGCACTGCGAGAGCCGTGTTAATTCAGCAGCTTGTTCCGTGCTAGCTGGGTAGCGTGTGCAGCGTTAGGGTTACAGCCGAAATGTATAGGTAGTCAACAAGAGCAAAAAGAACCAAGCGTGCATGCCAGCGAGTCAACTACTTTTCTGGTCCAATGTTCTTCTTCTCGAGTTGGTGTCGAGTCGCCGCATTCGTCAGAGACATGCCGCGCATTGCTGCGAACGCCTGTTCTGCCAGTACATGAGCGGGCTGGCAGGGCTCATCATTGGCATATCATGGAATACAAAAATAGAAATAAAGTAAAAAAGTCAAAAAAAAATGAAAATGAAAATCACGAGTTTTCACTAGTTACTAGTTCGTCAGGGATTTCCACACTCTAATTCAACTATGCATCCAGTAAGCAATTGGCAGATTGCTATGCAACCTAACGCCGGTACCTCACTGCACTAGTCAGCTGCCGACTAGTGATTATTGAGTAACCTAATAATGCGCCTCGGCGATCGGAAAGCTTCATCAGGGCCCAGCATGTGCACATCACACCAACTACGGAGTACCTACCTAGGTAAATAGCCTGCTGGGTAGGTACTTTTTAACGCCGTCAACTTTGTCACTGCACCGCCACCCGCCCAGAGCTGCGCCAATAATCACCGTTTCTCTTGCGTGCTTTGCAGCAAGTACAGTATCATTCGCGACATGTAGTGCCAAGCTTGTCGTGATGCCAAGTTGCTTGGTGGCATAGCCCAGGCCTGCCTATTTAACTAGGTACCTTATCTATCTACCTGCCTGCCTAGGTATACCTATGTACTGCATAACTAGCACTACTTATCACCTCTCCGTTTCCAAAAAACATGTCCCGCACAGTGACGTTACTTTGGACTCTCGGTAAAACGTACAACTACCTACTGATGAGGCATGTACCTCGCACAGACAAACAAAGTGCCACTTTCGCAGACCATAACCTTATAGAGTCATGGTCAGTCCATCCGTCTGACGCCAACCCGTTTTGGCATCGTGCATGTAACGCTGGCTTCTCCCTCATGCGCTCAGCTCATCTCAACACCTCGCCATTGAACCTACTTTCAGATGACGGCCCGACAAGGAGATACTACGTACTCAAGATGATAGATAGGAGAGGGAAATAGATAAAAAAAGGCCCTCTTTAGTATGGAGCCTCCATCGTATCTGCTGCGGCGCCATTTTTGCCCAATTCCTGATATCGGCGGGTCGCTGCCCGCTGTGGAACCTTTGCTTGACTCTTGGCCGTTTTTTTTTCTTGCATTGGTTTTTCATCAAACACATCTTTAACATGCCAGGGCGCATGTATGCGCGCTATGCTTAGTTCACGATCAGACGACAAATCCTGCACTCGTCTGCAGGCGCGATCGTCATGCGGCTCTTCGTCAGACATTAGCGGCTTGATCGAGGCAACTTGTTGCAGCGTGACCATCAAACGCAGATCCGAGCTGGCCTAGCGATCGAGCTGCCGGTCTACGTCAGACTTCAGTACTTAGCCCATGTCGCTAACTTGCTTGCTTGCTTGGCTACGGAGTGGTCATACGGCAGGTGTCGCCCCTTGCCGCGACCCCTGCCAAGTCAACCAGTTCTTCTTATCTACGGATATGCGTGTTCAGAACACATCCGTGCCATCCAGTGTCAGCCCATCATTGCCTGCGGACCAGCAAATAGAAATAATCAATAAATAGGCAGCTTTCGGAACCTCATTTTATTGAATCGTGTCCGTACATGGATCCCTGCCGCCCTGTGCCGATAACGAGCTAGGATGGCTCCATCACCTCATGCCCGTCGCAGGTGGACGGAAAGAGCACATCGGCCATCGCGGGCCTGCACGTCAGGTTTCCGTCAGCTATTATTTCCGACTTGGCGGTGTCCCTTTTTACATCTCTTTTTTCCGTATCCACAATGCTATCCTGTCGCCCCGATAAAAAAAAGCACCGCCAAATGACGATTTTGAAAAAGGGAAAAGTGTCGAGGCTCTTATCTTGCCGCGCTCATCATTTGTTTCGTCCGAAATTTTTTTTTTTTTTTTTTTTTTTGCCTTTCCATGACTCACCCAACCCTTGGGCAAACTCGGCATTTCGGTGTCCGCCACACCGATAGCTATGTATCTGTATCTCATCTTTCCCGCTAAGGAGATCTCTTTAGTCATTTCCGAGACAGTTCAGCGTCAAGGTAAAAAATGAAACTGAAATACCGGGTCTCTCAGAAGAGAAAAAGAGTTCGATCGAATTGTACTTATCAAGCACGGGTAATTATGACAACGTTGCATGGCCTCATTATGCCCACCGCCACACCGACAAACCCGCTGAAATGCAACCAAGCTACACCAGAGGCGAGATGCCCCTAAAGTAGAGAATACAGACATCATATCAGTGTCTCTATATTCAAGCGCATAGAACTTGGTGTGTGATGGGCTTCGTCGGTTGTCGACCTATTCCAGAGCACTTGTCGACCAATCTGTGGCTGGTGTAACTAAGGCCTTGACACCGAGGCCGGCTCATCCACAGTAAATCTGCTGTCGAGGCCACCAAACGCGTCGCAGTGTACTGCATCCGCCATCTTATTCAAATCCGTTACCATGCCGCAACTTTGAAGCTACATTACAGTCAACAAACCAAACTACATCTTAAAAGTCTTTGTTGCAGAGCTCCATCGCTCAACGATTTGTGATTCGATACAGAAAAATGTGTACACGCCGACAACTGCAAGAGGCCTTCGCCATGCCAACAATCAAGCACCAACGCCCAAAACTGTCATGTACAAGTCGTCCATCTCTATGACGAAGCCGCCTCCGAGGATTTCGGCTCCACTGCGGCTCCCATGCCCGGTCTGTTCCACGTTCTAATGTGGCCTGTGTGCATCGTTAGCAGTCATTGCCATCAAGAGTACCCGGCGCCAAAGTCTCACCATTCTTGCAGCTGGTGATGATGGCATCCTCGGTGAACTCGAGGAAGCAAAGCGGATGCTTGTCAATAACCTTGGTCTGTGCTCGCAGGTTAATAGAGCATCGAGAACAGCCGTTCGCCGAACTTACCATAACTGGGGGCAGCATCGGGATGCGTGCCCGCGGCTCCACGGCATGCGCAATTCCGGGGCTCTCGTTGCTGTCGTAGCTACTGACGCGCTCTGGTAGCCCGACATGCGAAGAAATAGAGCTCCGGTGTCGGTTCTGCTAATATTCTTAGCATTTCCATAGTAGACGAGTTAAGGCCGTGCATCATACTGTTTGGGGGCGGTGCAGCATCACTGCCGAGAAATCCCACAGGCATAGTCGCCCGTCTTCGCCGACACTACCGAAGCGATAGTTACGATCATCACAGCGCCATGGGTCAAATGCCAGTGCAGCGACCCACGATTCGTGACCTTGACATCGTGCAACCAATGCTTTATCTGCCATAGACCAAATCGAAATCAGGTCGTCCTGCCCACCTGTCAGAACGTATCTGCCATCTGGCGTCCATGTCACACAGGAGAAGCCGCCATAATACGAAAAGAAGAGATCAAGAAGCCTGTCGTTTCCACATCAGTAATTGGCCGGCCAGCGCATTTGTCACACAACTTACTCTTCTCTGAGATAGTCAATGATCCTCAAAGTTCCGTCTTCAGACACAACAGCCAAGTGCCTGTGGTCGGGCGAAAACGAAAAAGCATGTATGCGCTGATTTGACAGCTTCCAAGCTGCCACCGGGTTTATCTTCTGGTTCTTGGAGTGCACCGATTTGCGAATAACCATGCTAATGCCAGGCGTAGTTCCATTTGTTGCGTCGCCGGCATCGGAGCCTCCGTTGGAAGAAGCCTCGTCTTCAGGCGTGAATGCCGCATCCTCCTTCTCCTTATCATAGACAATCAACGAGCCATCCATGTGTGCTGCGAGGAAGAGGTTCTCGGACCCGGGAAGCCAATTCACGTGTGCCACCGGCGTATTGTTGATGACACCCTGCAATAGGTCAGCGTCGTAGTACTTAAAAGGGGTGTTCTACGAACATTCTTATTTAGTCGGGTATAACGCTGTGAGATGGGTTCTAGCCAGATAATCTCTCCAGTTGAGAAGCCCATAACGACATCGAGGTGGGAAGCGCCCTTTGTAGACTTGTTTACGTCGTGGCACAAGCAGTGAGCTTTCGTGAAGAGAATCTTGACGAGGTATTCCTGCTATTTGGTTGTTAGTAAATATGCGTTTCGGAAGTCAGGTACACGACATGCCTTGGTGGATGATGACATGTCCAGCCATTGAAAAGCTCGATTGATGTTGGCAAAGGCAAAGATGCCGTCACTGGGCCGGTCTGTGAGCCGCCGACTTAAGCTGTCACTGACAATAACCCTAGAGATGAATGACGAGTTGCTCTTTGTGACATTGTTCTTTGGCTTCTTTCTCTTGTTGACGTCCTTGGTGACAGCTGTCGTCAGGGCCATATTGCCATATCCAAATGCTGGTGCAGCAGAGCCGACAGCAACCTGTGGACCGTAATTGTCGCTGTTAGAGGTCGCTCGGCCGTCTTCACTGCTCATGCCGCCTTCCGTGGAGTACCGAAGATCGTTGGATCCATCTAGGCTCGCTAGTCCGCCAAACGACGAAGCTGCAGCCCCTCTGTAGACAAATGGCGGTGGTTTGGGGTGGAGGCTGACAAGTGACAGTTTGGTTCCGGAGCTGGCAGGCTGTGGATTTGTCGCCAAGGGGTTCGGGTTCACTATGGGGGCTTCGGAAGGGTGCGGAGGAGGCGTTGCCAGAGAGAGATCGTCTCTGAGGACGTAGGTGCCTGTGCGCGTTGTCAATCGCTCGCATTTGTCACGCGCCTACGCATGGATTGGGGTGCTTACCTTCTCCGACGAGAAATTGCCACTCCGACCCTGTCGGCTTCTCTATTGTGTTATTTGTCTCAACAAGTGGCACAATGCCACCCAGGCCGCCGACTCCATAGCCGCCGACTCCGGGGTATCGCGGCGGAGGCGGTAGAACGCTGAAGCCGCTTTGCGACGGCATTGTCAGCGTGGCCACCAGAACGGAAGCCATTAGTATGGCGCATCAATATTTAGCACTGCTTACAGCATATCGGGAGGGGGTCTTCGGATACTGGCTCGTCTAGAGGCTTCTTGGAGAGGTTATTGCACAGACGCAGAAAGTCGCGCTGCTTCGGCGTTGCGTTGTGGTTGGTGACGTTATCGTGGCCGATCCCAGCGGAAACGCAGCCGCAATCGGTCGAGCTGGCGTGGCAGTGCTAAGTGAGAAGAGGTATCACTGAAAAGAAATCAAGAATGCGCTTTGAGGTAACGAGTATGGCAAAGGAGCAATTGTTGGCGGTTGGGGCGCCGGGGCGGCGACGTCTGTCCATCTGCAGACTGCAGCTGGCAGTTTGCGTGTGGGGTATTCAAGCCACAAAGCCTGGAGCAGCAGCCGCCAGCTCATGTGCTCCGACTTGGCAGGCTGACGGAGGCGTGTCTGGGCTTAGGCCAGCGCCAGTCCGTCAAGAAGCGCGTGCGAGAGTGCCTGTGGTCTCAAATGGTCGTTGTTGCAGAAGGTTGAGTGCAAGTTTTGACGCCGCGATGCTGTGTTGTAACTCGTCCGTTCGCCGATCCCCGGCTGCAATCTGGGGTAAATTGCGCACCGCTACGACTGCACATAGGTAACTAATTAATAGCAAATGTCAGGCAGGCACCACACAGGGCACATGGGCACCCCTTAAGCGGGCACCCACTCTCTCTTCCAATACACATCATCATCAACCTTCACATCTCCGTTACCGTAAACGTCAAGTCCAAGGGGGTCAGAGTTCAATTCTGAGCGGGGCGATTTTTACGAATGCGGGTGAGGATAACTAGGTGCGCTACAGACTTCAGTAACCCGTCTCAATTAATAGCCAGTCAATCGAATCAGTTAATCAACAGTCAATTAATCAGCAGCCAGTCAATCAACAACACTTAATCATTAGCCGCTGGTCAATTAACCGCCAGTCAATTAATAGCCGCCGGTTAACTAACAGCTATTCAATCAGCAATTAGAAACTAGCTGCTGATTTAGTCGCTGCTGTTTGACTATTAACTAGAACTAGTTGTCAGTTAAGACTGGCTACTAAAGCGCATCACCTATAACGCATCTGCAATTAAGACTTGACGTTTACTGCTACCGCTGTCACGACTTTGGTAGGGTGGATCCATTGGCACGATGAACTTCGGGGTCAGGACAATCGAATGCAGCCGATGTACTTATATGGTTATTCGTTGCAGCGTGGGGAGATTCGAGTTGATGGTGGCGTGTTCCCTGTAGGGTATCAGGGTGCTCAAGCAACGGAACAGTTGGCCAGACATGTTTGCAGGTGCAACGAGGCTTTGGCAGATTCGAAACCCGAGACTTGAGCTTACCAGCCAAACTGTTGCATATCAATAGAAGTCTTGAGACCGCCAGCGTCGTGCTGACATGTGTAGAGTAGACCATGAGTACTATAAAAATTAGGAGGACTAGGAAAATTCGAGGAGCAGTTGAACCAAAAGAACAGGTAGGATAGAAAGAACAGATGCGGAAAAAAAACGTCTTGTACTTTTGCGGGCAAGGATACCTAGATTAACCTAGGTGCCTACATAAGCTGCCTAGGTACCTTAGGTACACCTAAATAGTTGTAGGTAAGTCTCTCGTACACGCAAGGACATGGAACGGGTCACCGACATTTCGAAAACACCGCCTCTTGACCCGGCATCGTGTTGGGCTGGCAATGCTGAGTGATTCATTCGATCGACTTTATTATTGGTAGATTTTGGCCCACCAAACCATTCAACTCGAACTGCTGGAGACTGGAACATGTTGCTCTACCTCCGTGGGCCACTTGTTGAATAGCGCTGGCAGATGCCAGACTCCGCTACATTGGCCTCTGAACAACCGCCAAATCGTAGCCCAACGCCGTTACCCCCCTGCAGGCCCCAATTTAACCCAGCGCCGTCTTGGCCAGCTCCTCCTCAGTCGCGTTTCTCCTCCTCCATGGTCATCTCGAAAGGCTTCAAAGCGTCATCCTCGCGTAACTACATTTGCTGACTTCTTTACTGAATGTCACGGACATGAAGTAGATCGACGCTCGAATATCGCTTCTTTCTCTTCGTCGTTTCTATCAACCCGTCTTCATCATGACTACAGGTATACTCCCTACAAACGCCCCGTCTAGCCCCCGAATATCAAGTGGTGCGACATATTCACAAACTGACACCAAATCCGACAGTTCGCATTTGTGTCTGCGGTGACGAAGGCACTGGAAAATCGAGCCTCATAGCCTCGCTGGTCAAAGACCAGTTCATCAACAATAAGATCCAATCTGTCCTGCCGCAAATCACCATACCACCCAGCATAGGAACGCCAGAAAATGTCACTACCACAGTCGTTGATACCTCGGCACGCCCGCAAGATCGCACAACGTTGCGAAAAGAAATTCGAAAATGCAACGTCATTCTCCTGGTATACTCGGATCACTATAGCTACGAGCGCGTCGCTCTCTTCTGGATGCCGTATTTCCGATCATTAGGCGTCAACGTTCCTGTTGTGCTCTGCGCAAACAAGTCTGACCTTGCAGGCCAATCCGACACGCCGCAAGTTGTCGAGGAGGAACTGTTACCAGTCATGGCAGAATTCCGGGAAATCGACTCTTGCATTCGAACGAGCGCCCGCGAGCACCGCAACGTCAACGAAGTCTTCTTCCTCTGCCAAAAAGCCGTCACACACCCAATCGCACCTTTATTCGACTACAAGGAAGGAAAGCTCAAACCGGCTTGTGTGGCCGCTCTCAAGCGCATCTTCTTCCTGTGTGACAAGGACCAGGATGGGTATCTCAACACGAAGGAAATGCGAGATTTTCAACTCAAATGTTTCGATAAGCCGCTGACCGACGACGACCTCGAGAATATTAAGCTCTCCATTGCAAAGACTCTGCCTCAAGTAAATATGGAACCCGGTATCGACTTGCAGGGTTTTCTGCAACTCAACAAGCTTTATGCTGAAAAGGGTCGCCATGAGACCATCTGGATTATCCTGCGCCAATATCATTACACCGACAGCTTGAGTTTGGAAGATAAGTTCCTGCATCCCAAGTTTGAAGTTCCCGAATTCGCTTCGGCTGAGCTTAGTCCCGCCGGTTACCGCTTCTTTGTCGATCTATTTCTGCTCTTTGATAAGGATAACGACGGAGGCTTGAACGACAAAGAGCTGGAAGCACTGTTTGCTCCTACACCCGGCCTGCCTGCATCTTGGATCGAATCCTCTTTCCCATCGAGCACTGTGCGAAATGAAGGGGGCCACATTACTCTTCAAGGCTGGTTGGCACAATGGAGCATGACTACCTTCTTGGAACCTCATACGACTATCTCATACCTGGCATACCTTGGTTTCGAACCCTCGAACCCCAAGGACTCTATCACAGCGGCTCTCAAGATCACAAAAGCGCGCAAGAGAAGACGCCGTCCAGGTCGTGTCGAGAGAAATGTCGTGCTTTGCTACTTGATCGGAGCTCCCGCAGCTGGCAAGTCGTCATTACTGGACGCATTTTTGAACCGGCCATTCGACAGCTTGTACCGCCCAACCATCAAGCCACGACGCACAGTCAACAGCGTCGAACTGCCTGGAGGCAAGCAAGTCTACATGATCTTTGAGGAGCTCGGCGAACTTGAACCAGCGATCCTGGAAAACCAATCCAAGCTGGGTGCTTGCGACCTCATCTGTTATGCATACGATTCTTCTGACCCGGATTCATTCTCGCATATTGTTGACATGCGAAAAAAGTATCCCCACCTCGACGAGCTTCCCTCCGTGTACACGGCTCTCAAGGCCGACAGGGATAAAACGACTCAACGCAGCGAGCTCCAGCCCGACCAGTACACCGCGGCCCTCAATATGAGCACCCCACTGCACGTCAGTGTCACATGGAACAGCATTACCGAGCTGTTCGTCGCCCTCGCCGAGGCGGCCACCAACCCCAGCACGGGCTTTCCCAAGAGCGAAGAGGAGGCCCCCGACCGCAGCGGGCTGTACATTGCTCTGGGAGCCACGACATGCGCTGTTGTCGCCGCAGCCATGATCTGGCGCCGATCTACCAACTCTGCTTAAGACGTCACTGTTTTGTTTGGGCTGCTCCCTGCACATGTACAACAAAACTCTACTCTTTGAACACGCGCACTCACTATTTCTCTTCGACCTATGGCCTGGGTTTCTCTTCCACGAAGCACCAGCCCTGTATTATATTAAGACCTGCATGGCAGACGTATCACTCATTTTTAATCATTACGTTTGCAATGATCTGTACTCGAAAAACCTAATTCACACTGGAGGAGTCAGAGGTGTTCCTTTGTTCTTCTTATTTACTTATTTTTTGGATTACACTTTCGCCTCCTGCCCGGGCGCGGACGATTTTCTTTCTCATCTTTCTGGATGAAACGACCCCTTTTCCCGTCATTCTTCATTCTATATGCAGGGCTGGCGAGCCGCTTTCCTGGCTCTTGGCTGCCTTGCATTGCTAAAACGTTTGGAAGAACAAAGAAAAACATCCCAGCTAGTGATATCATGATACCCATTCTTAAAATCAATCAATATACACTCGTTTCCATCAGCCTACATAACGCGAGATGCGCACACTTTGGTGCGCGGAGAATGAAAAGAAATTAATAGATTCGCCATGCAGTATCGAGATTGCGGAGATGTATGTCGCTGTGAATAGGGTACACTGTGCTTTTTACACCTTGTAAAAGCAAAAGCCAACGTAAAAGCTCGCCGCCTCCATCTCGTCGTCGCTGACGAGCAGCGGCCCGCCGTTCGGCTCACGGACGCGCATGCGCTCACTCAAGGGCCCCAGCTCGGGGTCGTCCTTTTCCGCCTCCCATATCTCGGGAAAGGTGCGGTGGTATTGCAGCTCGAGGTTGAAATCCTCGGCGAGGGCGCGAAACGCCTCCCATGGCACGACGTACTCGGGCACCTCCTCGACTGCCTCGTCGAGGAAAAAATTGTATTTCCAGCCAAACGCCGGGCGGAAGACGCCGTCTTCGGGGGTCGCGCCGGGGAAGCGTACACGGTAGATGGAGTTCCCCCATTCGGCCGACGGCTCGGCCTCGCCTTCCTCGAGCTCGCCGTCTTCAGCCTCGGGCGCGGCCTCCTCGGCCGAGGTTGGGGCCTCCTTGTCGTCAGTTTTGTCGCTCTTGGCCTGTTCCTGCTTCTTCTTGGCTTCGCGTCGCTCAGCGGCCTTGGCGTTGAACTTGCGCACGTGCTCGCCAAGGACGTCCGAGTTGGGAATGCAGCCGATGAAGCGGCCACCCTTTTTGAGGGCGCCGGCGACGTTGCGCAGCATATTGCGCGCATTCTTCTCAGACTCGAACGCGTAGTGCATGGAGAACATCATGCTCACCACATCGAAGCCGCGACGGTTCATGGGCGATGGGTCAAAGCCGACCTGCTGGACGATTTCGAGGTCCTCAATGCTCTCCCCGTAGCAGTCCTTGACGTGGAAACGCGCATCAAACATGCGGGCGGGCGGGCCGCGGTGGTGGCCTCCACGACCGCCGCCACGGCCGCCCCGCGGATAGCCCATGTTTCTGTACCGGCCGCGGGCCTGCTCGATGCTGATGTCGGCAGGGTCGAGGCCGACGTAGAGCTGCACGGGCTGAGGAGCCTGCTGCCACTTGTTCAGATCACCACCCTTGCCGCAGCCAATGTCGAGAATGAGCAGCTCCTTGCCGCTGGTGCGGCCCGTCTCGCGCGAGCCGGGCGCGTGGTCCTCGTCAGGCGAGTAGCGCTGAATGAGACAGCTCTTGATCCAGTTGTTGAATACGCGGAGGCCTTTGATCTTGCTGTCGGTGGTGCGCCACTGGCGGCCGCGCTCGGGTACGCTGTTGTAGTGTTGGCGGACAACGTCGTGGTTGCCACGCGCGCGGAAGCTTTGTTGCACCGCTGCGGCGGCGGCAGCAGCCTCTGCGGCTTCTCTGTCGCGCTGGATCTGCCTTTGGCGGATCGCCTCGCGCTCCGCCTCGGAAATGCGAGCGCGCGCGCCGGGGCGCTTTTGTTTGCGCGGCTGCTCGGATGGGGATATAGCTCGTCGCTTGGTCGCATGCAGACTGTTGGCATTGTATGGCTGTGGCAGGTCGTCGGTCGTCTCCTCGGCCCGGCGCTTTCTGGTAGGGCTGCGGCTTCGTGACCGAGACCTGGCACGGCCGCGGTCATCATCCTCTCGTGCCATGGTGGCTGAGAATGTATAATGATTTTATTATGGCTGGTTGTGCGGTTTGGTGACGTTTCTGGTAATCTTCAGCTGCAATTGGGTTGCGGTGCGGATGTGGAGCGGTGGAATGATCAAATCGTTGCGAGGAGTTGCTGTTGTTCGCAGCGCCGCTGCTACAAATGTTGCAGTTCGGTGCGAGCCCAGCGCCGTTCCGATGGCAGGAGCACCAACCACGCAAACAGTGCACACGCAAACATGAGCACTTTTGGAGGAACCTCGAGGGTTACAATTTTCTATGACAAGCGCACTTTACGACTAAAAGATCAAGGATGGTACTAGAATAGCTGCTGCGATGCTTCACAAGTGGCAGTAGCCAAATGAATGACTGGCGAACAAGGTCAGCTTATCGAGCCAGCCCGCTGTGAGGCAGGCAGGCCCGAATGCAGGAGTGGTACATATATGTAGTATTCATAATTGAGTCACAGGTATTAAAAAAAGGGAGGCGGACACCGTCTCCGATCAAGTCGCAATGCTGAACCGCTTGCTTTACGGTGTATTTGCGCAGTAACTTGAGGTTTGTGACGGATAAGTAGGTTAGTTGAAGTTAGTTGTCAGCACCGCAGATAGGCAAGGTAGGTACAAGTCCGCGTCAACGCTGAAGCCTTGAGCTTGGAAAGCTCTTGAAAGGGCGCTTCTGGTGCTGCTATAGCGCGGGACTCGGTTGAGTAGCGTCAGTACACGTGACTGTCTTTCCCTACTCTATTAAAGCGGCGTCACCTTTAGCTAAAGTGGGCTAGGTATCTCTGGGACACTGGCCCAAGCTACAGCCTACAACCTCACGGCGGGCTTGTTTCCATCATTTTCTGCCATACGTCTCATCCCCCAATTCGCACCAAGAAGTCATCCCAAGACGGTAGTCGAATTCCGTCGCAAGTACGCCGTCGCCGCCATGGGTTCAGATCCTCAGTACGCAAAGTGGCCGCTGCTGCCGCTCTCGCAGCACGTCTTCACCCTCACAAACGCCTACGCCTCGAAACAGTCGCAGCAGTCTGCCATCAAGGCCCTCCAAGATGCCATCGCCGAGGACAAGATGGCGCCGTTCTACCGCTACCTGGCGCACCCCATCGACGGCATCCTCAACCAGGTCGGCGAGGGCGGCGCCTCGGGCCCCGGCAAGCCGCTCAGCCGCAAGTCCTCTCTCGTTGGCATGATTGCCACCAAAGCCGCACATAGCGCCCACCTGCCCTGGGACGAGGCCCTGTACGCGCGTTTAAAGGAGGATAACGATAAGGAGCTCGCGCAGTTCCAGAAGGAGGAGGACGAGGCCGAGGAGCAGGCCGGCGAGACGGAAGTCATGGCCGCAAAGGGCAAGCGTGCAGACTTTTGGGCTCGCGTGGGTGACAAGGTAAGCAGCAATGGCGGATGCCTTGTTTGTCGACGATAGCGTGCTCACACTTGGAACAGGAGAAAGCAATCACAGCGTACGACGATGTTTTCGAAAAGACGGGCATCCTCGGCAGCAAAATCGACCTCGTTCTCGCGATAATACGCATGGGCCTGTTCTACGGCGACAAGCAGCTTGTTAAAAAGTATATCGAGCGCGCAAAGGGTCTCGTTGAAACTGGCGGTGACTGGGACCGCCGAAACCGCCTCAAGGCCTACGAGGGTCTTCATCTCCTTACCGTCCGTTCCTATAGTGCCGCTGCCCCTCTTCTCCTCGACTCGTTGTCAACCTTTACCAGCTACGAACTCTGCACGTACTCAAACCTCGTTGTGTATTCTGTCCTGGCCGGCTCCGTCTCGCTGAAGCGCGTCGACTTCAAGTCCAAGGTGGTCGATGCCCCCGAGATCAAGGCCATTTTGGGCGACGGCGAGGACAAGCTGCTCGCTCTAAGTGGTGCGTTGAGCGCCGGTCCCGGCGCCGACGACACTCCAGGCACAAACACTCCCAAGGCCACGACGACGGCTGTCAACCTGACTATTCTCGGATCGAGCACAGAGCAGTCCGAGGCCGAGGCGGCGATCGACTTTTCGCCGCTGGCGCTGCTCGTCAGCAGCTTGTACAACGGCAACTACAAGACTTTTTTCCAGTCGCTCGCCTCTGTCGAGGAGCAGTTCCTCAACCAGGACCGCTATCTGCACGAGCACAAGGCGTGGTTCATCCGCGAGATGCGCCTCCGCGCGTACCAGCAGCTTCTCCAGAGCTACCGCGTCGTCGGCCTCGACAGCATGGCTAATGACTTTGGCGTCACGGTGGACTTTTTGGATCGGTGAGTCTTGCCCCAGTCAACCATGTTACAGAAATCCGAAAACTAATGCATCGCGTAGTGACCTGGCTCGCTTCATTGCCGCCGGACGCATCCCTTGCACAATTGATCGTGTATCCGGCAAGGGCGTCATTGAGACCAACCGACCAGACGACAAGAATAAGCAGTACCAGGACGTTGTCCGACAGGGCGATCAGCTAATTACCAAGCTACAAAAGTACGGACAGGCTGTTAGACTTCGAGGCAGCGAGAGAGCATAAAGGATAGGGGGAAAGGAAGACGATGACGGGACTTTTCATGTGCAGTGTGTCATTACCACTCATGTATGATACGAACTTGAAATTAGATGAAGACGTCTGATATCAAATTCAACGCGGTTAAGAAACAGTCGACTTTTGAGTAGTGCTCATTGTGCGCGTGATGATCAGAGACTATGTGCAAATCCAGGTGAGTGTTGATTCTTGGGGATCATGAATGTTCTTTATTGACCATAAATGTTCTTTATTGACCATAAATGTTCTTTATTGATCACAAATATATACTGATATTGCTATTCCCAGCGCATGATTCCATATCCAAACCAGGGAAATTACAGTTCTGCGGGGTGCCTTTTTTGATCACCTTTTCTCTATATATTCTAGTGCTGTCAAAAGCGCATACCGCCACTGGCACGATTTACCTGTACTTGTCCATGAACTCCTTGTGAAACTTGACAATGCTGCCTACCCACTCGGTGCCGGGCGCCAGGAACGTCGTGCGGAAGTGCAAGGTGCCTTCGACCTGACCGAAGCCGCTGCCGGGAATGACGCAGATGCCCGTGGCATTGAGCAGCTCCATGGCGTAAAACTCGTCGGGCTTGCGGCCGGCGGCCTTGGCCGCGTCGACGGCTTTTTGGGAGAGGGTGATGGTGGGGAAGAGGTACATGGAGCCCTGGGGCTCGGCGCAGCTGACGCCTTCCATCTGGGAAAAGGCCTTGTAGAGGGCGGTGGCGCGCTCTTGGAGGCCGTTGAAGATGCTCTTGTACTCCTTGTCGTAGAGGGCAAACGAGGGCTCGCCAGGGCGAGGCGGGTTGACCATGAGATCGACCATGCACTGGCCGATGACGGGTGCGCAGAGCATGATGGAGACAAACTTGTAGACGTTGGCCTCGACCTCGGGATCGAAGCCGACGAGCTCAAAGTAGCCGCCGCGGTGGCCGCACTCGCCGACCATGCCCTTGGAAACGGAATGCAGCGAGGCGAGCTGGACCTTGTCGTACTTGCCCGGCGCATCGCGCTGCATCTGTCGGAGAACCGACTTGAAGCTGTGAAACTTGCCAACAAAGACGTTGGTTTGGTAGACCTCGTCGGCCATGACAAGCAGGTCCTTTTCGTTGGCAAAGTCAATGACGGCGCGGATGTCCTCCTCGGGGAGCGAGGAGCCGGTGGGGTTGCCCGGGTTGATAATGACGATGCAGCGGACGTCGAGGCCGTCGGCCTTGCCCTTATCGTAGCTTTTGCGGATGGTGTCGAGGTCGGTGCCCCAGTTCTTGGACTCGTCAAGGCAGTACGGGACGGGGGTAGCATCGAGCAGGGCGAGCGAGGCCGTGTAGAGGGGGTATTGTGGAATGGGGATCATGATGCCGGTCTGCTTGGAGGCGCAAATGACATTGAGGAGCGTGTTGACGCCGGACGAGGCACCGGTCGACAGGTAAATGTGGGCAGGGTCAGCGGGGAAGCCATCACGCTCTGTGCCAGGTCGAGTTAGTAAGAACTGGTAAAAGGGGTAACTTCGATGGCAGCCGTGATAGTATTACCTTGGATAAAGTTGGAAATGCTCTCTTTGATGGCAGGAACGCCATTGCTGGCGCTGTAGGCGCCGACGGAGCCAACACTGTCGAGCAGCTTTTTGGCGCGGGCAATCACGTCAGGCTGGTAGCCGAGGCTGTTGACGAGGACATCCTCCTTTTCCAGCAGCAGCGGGTTCTCAAGGATAGAGAGCACCTGGCGGAAAAAGGTGAGGGGCTTCTGGTCGAGCTGCTGGGGGTTGCCAATGTTGGCGCTGATGACCTGGTCAAAGGGCAGCGTCTTGTCACCCTTGGCGAGTCGGGCGCGCAACTCCTCCGATTTGAGGGCGAGCTCGCCGCGGACAGCGTACTCGGCGTTGCGGACGCGCTGATTGATGGTGTCGACGGTCAAACCCATGGTCGATTGGAGGCGTCGAGGGGTGTAGGAGGTGGTTCTTGTTGTGGTGGTTGTTGGAGGAGAAAGGATCTGGACGTGAGGCGGTCCGAAAACGTGGGGTTGTGAGATGGCGCTTGGCGGGGCAGTCGTGAGAGCTGCGATGGGGTAGATCAATGTCAGATGAATGTTTGATCTCCGTCTGGGAGAAAATATGCTTGCGTATGTGCTGACACAATACACGGGAATTTATCAGATTTTATACAGAAAAAAAGAAGAAATCCCTCGCGGTGTGCCAAAAGCCTCGATGCTTGCAGATCGTGGGGTGGCTGACTGTTGTTGTATGTAATGGGGTAGTGGAGGGGCAGAAAAAAAAATCAACAGTGACAGCGATTTCGGGAGGAAAGTAGCAATGAAAAGGACGCCAGTTTTTGCCCAGCGGTAGCCGCTGATTTAAATGAAAAGGACGTTTCCAAAATTTGTCAAGTGACGGCGTGCAGCGCAGCATTCACAGGACAAATCCAGCTGCCCATCAACACAAGTAGCGTGCCCATTAGCCGTCATTGTGCTTCGACTCATCGCGCATCATCGTTCAGCCCGACAGCGCAGCCAACGAGGCCGTCGCGCAGGCCCGAGCTCGCAGCGTTGCACACCCAACATGAGCCAGGCAGCGGATAGATGCTTTTTGGCTGAATAATAAGATGGCTTGCGCATCGGACATATGCGGTATCGGGGGACGCCGAAGATGCAGGATTGGCTTCTTTGCTGGACATAGCTATCCTCATCAGGCCCTTTTGGGCGCGGAGCTCGGCGGATGATTGAAGCTTGCCGCACAACAGAGCCCAATGAAGCCATCAATGCGACACAGAAGAGGAACAACGAGGGAAATGGCAAGGGAAAGAGACTCGAATGGGACTGGAAAAAATCGCCTCTTACCTGCTACTCGCCGTAAGCTGCGCGAGACCAACATCCTTGCAGCGACTGGACCCATTGACGCACAAATGACGACGCAATCAGATGCAAGCCGTTTCTTGCAACGGACAAGTATCGTTAGAGAATTCCGTTGTGAGAGCGGTTTTGCTCATCGAGTCAGGAGCCCTAACTCTGTTACCTGTTGAGCATCTTATTTTTTTTCCCGCTGTTAAACCGCGCTATACCCACAGATGCCTCTTTTTTTGAATTATATCCCTCCGTGTCAGATAATACGGGGCACCTGGACTTCAGACGTTTTGACTGTCGGTCGCGCGAGGCGTATTGACCAGCACACAAATAAGAGTATTAAAAGCTGAGGATACTTTGAGCTTCTCTACTGTCGTCTTGTCATTTTTTCAAATTGTAGAAATATCACATCACAGGTTGGCTCACTCCCCATCACGGCCGGGTTACAGCGGATGTGTCCACTGAGAACGCGGTCCCGAGTCACTCAAACCGCTGTAGACCGCCCGACTTGGTTCAAAACCGTCATTTCTTCTTGACTTCGCGCAGAAAGACTTTGTTCTCAAAGAGACTGATGGAGCCTCACTGGGAATAGCCGGCAAGTAATAGCTGGCAGGTTTCGAGCAGCTAAACCCAAGTCACTCCTCACGGCGCCTTCTTCTGTTCTTTGAGTCCACTGATCGTGATGCAGGCCAACAACATCATACTTATCCAAATCGACGCCGCCTTTTCATACATGCATGCTTATCGATTGATAGAGTTCTTCATGCCTTAGCTAAATATAGACATCTACGAGGGGCTTATAGTCTTAACTCCCTCATCGATAAATAAAAACACTATACTCGACCGGCAAAGTGTTTCACTTGGAGACGAGAAACGAAAGTTGTATGAGAGAATAAGAACACTGTACACGAGGTGGGCTACGGCATTCACAATCGTTAATAGTAAAAGTGCGATATAGCAAGTGCTAAACGGGAATTTGAAACTAACAAATCTAAATAATAGTGGGAAGAGTAATATGAAGCATGCGGGTCAACCGCATTGCGGCGGCGTAACACTTCAACCGAGTGCCCTGGTAGTATGCCAAGCATGGCCGCAGAGAACTTACTGATTCACCGTCGGCTAGATTGATAAGATTGAAATAATATAGCTCTCACGAGTATAGTTATCACTACCGGCTTCGAGGGCTTGCGAGTGGAGAGTCGAGTGGTATGTTGGGCATATCCCAGCAAGGTAAGTCGGGGTTGGATTTTTTGGCTTTTACCAAGTTAGATGATGAAACTCGTCGCGTTGCTCATACATTTCAGTTTTTCATGATCGCATCATTGAAACGATGTACTGCCTTCATCATCACCGGAGATGCAATTTGGCTTCTCATAAACGAGCGGGGTCAAGCGTATCGGTACTTGTGCCTATGTAGATGTGCTGCCAAGGTATTCTGTGGAAGGTTGGCCTGGATGTGGAACATGAGGGGGGCTAACAAAAAAAAGGTTCTGACGAGGCAAAAGCAGCAGTCACATCCGATTTGCCCCTGATGCATGGAGTGCATGCAAGGCCATCTGATAAGATTCACATCTGGCGGCTCTACGTCATCTGCATGCCGAGATCAGGCCGAGTATCGGCGTGAATGCCACCGCATCAAGACATGCCTTGGCTTCACGGTAATTGACTTGCAAGTTTGGCTTGCCGAATACCACCTGCGATTCGTTTGGGCATCCGCGCATCGGAGGGGCGGAGGGGGGGGGAGGGGACGTCAGGCCAGGCGGGTGGATTGGTTCCGCCATGTGGCCTCGCTGAGGTTATTTCTTTCCTTGGTCTCGTGCCCAGTCTACAAGTCAACCGCAGCCAGTAGTCTGGCTTGAGCTCCACGAACCACGGCGACGGGCGACCACTTTTATGAGCGGTGAGTCAAACAAGTTCGCATTTATCCGTGGAGAAATTGTCAAGCCGTATGAAACCTCGATGACAAGCAGGGGTTTAAGGAGCCGTACTCCACTGAAAAAGAGGAATGAGGCGAAAGCTGAAAGGCACGAGCTGAAGTGCTGCTTACAAATGATACATTGGCCAGTATAGCGGGACGAGACCTCTGCTGTCGTGTGATTATGCGGCAGTCAAGTGTAGGTCCAGGTAATCAGTCAATTGGGGGCCGCGACGGCAGAGAAAGGGTGGCAGATGCAAGAGCTCGTGTTAAATGCCTCTGCAAGCAACTCAAAAAGCCGACTTTGCGAGCCGTGTACTTGGGACTTGCTAGCCGAATAAGCCGTCACTGCGCGTAGTAACGGCAGAATGGTTCAGTTGGTGTCGGGCATGAGCCATGTTCACGAGAGGAGTTGCTGGATGCGCCACATGTGGCAAGGAGCCAGCAGTAGATGGCAAGATGACGATATCGTTCAAGATGCATGGCGTTGGAGAAGCATTTATTCTGTGTATTCGTAAAGCTTCTGCTGGAAGCAACGGCCTTTTTGAGTACCGTCAACTTGCAACTGTGCTCGGCTTCCGAGCCGTTGAACTCTGCCAAGCCGTAACCCCCACACGCGGCATCCCTTCGAAAGGACCGCTAAAACAGGATTCAGTGCGCTGTAGAAGCCTGCAGCCCGCTACCAAACCCACTGTAGCAGGTCCCTGTGCACTGATGCCATCTCGGAGCTCAGCTCGGCGTTAAGACCGACGGGGCTCGGCGCAAACTTTTCTGCGTGGTTTCTTATCAGATCAGATTGATAAAAATTGAGAGTCCCCGTCACAGCCCCTCCGCGCTGCGGTGCAGCCACCGCAGCCCAAAATGTTTGCCCGTCCAAACCCCCAGCCCTGATTGCCCTTCCCCTCGCCCAGTCATCCGCGCTCACCTTCACCACACGTCTGCGGAAAATTTCTGTCCCCTTTTTATCCACGTCAAATGTCGTAACTCCGACTGCTTTTTTCGTCTGCCATTAGCCTCGACAAACCTCATCCGACCGACTTCTACAAAAAAAGGAAAAAAACGAACCATGTCTGATCGTAGCGAGTCCGTGGATTCTGACGGCGAGTCCGGCTCCCACCACGCGGACCAGCCCCCTGCTCGAAAGAGACAGCGCGTGAGGCTCAGCTGCCTCGAGTGTCGTCGCCGTAAGCTCTCGTGCGACCGCGGCTTCCCGTGCGAGCGCTGCATCAAGAGCGGCACGCCGGACCGGTGCTCGTACGAATCCCGTACCGGCGAGGTCGTCAACGCATCGGCCGGCGTCCCCCCGCAGTTTGCTCAGCTCGACTCCCGCCGCTTCGGCCTGGCCGACGCCGTTGCCGGCTTCGCCTCGCGCGACCCAGACGTCCTCCGACAGGACCACGACCGCATCCGCCGCCTCGAGCTCGAGATTGCCCAGCTCAAGACGCAGCTGCTCCGGCCCGGTGCCTCGGCCTCGTTTGACGGCAGCACCATTGCCGGCACCAACTCGCCCGCCACACAAAAGGACGAGACCTCACCCCATGACATTGACCCCAACGCGCCCCGGCCCGAAATCCAGGAATGCATCGATGCCACCAATGCCTCTGACGAAAAGGTCGAGCTCCGCTTCTTCCGCGGCAAGGGCTTCCGCACGCGCTACTTTGGTCCGCACAATGCCAGCATGGCCTTTGTCGAGCTGACTGGCCTCTGCCCCTTCATGCGGGAGACTGCGGACGAGTGGCTCCGCCCCGTCATCATCCACGACCGCAAGGATCGCAAGCGTCGCCAAGAAACCCGCGAGCTCATGTTTGAGCAGCCGGATCCCGAGCTCGAGTCTCTGCTACCTAGCAAGGAGGAGGCGGACGCGCTCGTGGCTATTTACCTCGACCAGTTCGAACAGATCCATCGCATTGTGCATATCCCTACGTTCAAGAAGGAGTACGAAGCCTACTGGACACCCGGCGCCAACAAGCGCTACGCTGCCTTTACAGCCATGCTGCTGGCCATGATGGCTGTCACCAGCACCGTTCATACCCACGAGGGCCTCAAATTTGTGGGTATGATGTCGAGTGCCCGTCACTGCGCTGAGAAGTGGATCAAGGCAGCCGATGACTGGCACAACATTCAGAGCCAGAAGCATCGCCGTCTCATTCATTACCAGATTGCCTGCCTGCTGTACCTGGCCAAGCGTGTCAACACGTACAAGAAGAAGCGCTTCTGGACCGGCTCTGGCGCCCTCATTCAGAATGGCATCGCCGTCGGCCTCCATCGTGAGCCGAGCCACATGGCCAACAAGATCACCATTTACAACCAGGAAATGCGTCGCAGGATCTGGACTACGATACAGGAGTTTGACATGCAGGCGTCGTTTGATCACGGCCTGCCCACACTGCTGAGCCAGCTGCACTACGACACCAGTCCGCCTCGCAACCTCGATGACGAGGACTTTGACGAGCACACAACGGAGCTGCCTCCCTCCAAGCCTGCCAAAGAATACACATACTCTTCCTTCCAGAACTTGGCGCGCTCGAGCTTGCCACTACGTCTGGAACTCAGCCGTCTGCTCACGGGTCCAACGTCGGATATTGATTACGACCAAGTCATTCGCTACACCAATGACTTGACGCAAGAGATTGATGCCCTGCCTTCCTGGGATACCAATGTGGATCCAAACGTTAGCAAGAAGAACCCGCTCATTGCATATACATTGCTGCATGTGCAGCTGCGACAGTACATTATTCCCCTGCATCAGCCATACCTCAAGCTGCGCAAGCAAAATTCCAAGTATCAATACTCGGAGATTATCTACTACAATGCCGCCCGAGACATCGTGCTGCTGCACGACAAACTCTACGAGCAGGGACTCCGCGCTCTCAACTTTTTGCGAGAGGATGCCCTAACCACAGCCATCAACCTGTGCAGCGTGACCATGCTGCAGCCCAAGGGGTCCACCAACATGATTATGATCAACTCGCACCACACGCTGAAGCTCATTGAAAAGTGCATCGGCATGAAAGAAGACCGATTGCTGCGCTGTGGCAACAACGAGCCGTGGGGGTACTCCATCATGTGCGCCGCCCTGGGTCTACTCGAAGCTCATCTCGGCACCAAGCCATCCGAGGTGGCCAAGTCATCGTCTGCCGAGCGCTTTGTGAATCTACACTACCGCCTGCTGGCCAACCAGGAACCATCCATATCTACGAGCCAACTGGCCGAGGTTGGCATGTCCATGCCGCCACCAATGGCCACTGGCGCGAGCGTCGGGCTGCCGCTCGACGTGCCCGACAGACCAAAAGTAGGCCACGCGCACGCCGACTCCCCATATAACGCTAACCGTTCCCAGTCCGCCGCCATTTCGTTTCCCTTTACGCCACCCATGCCGTCTGCGCCACTGGATCCTTCCGCTGCGCCGTGGCTCATGAACACTGGTGACACCACACAGCCTTTCAATCTCGACCCAAGCCTAGAGCTGCTCGGCATTAATCTGAATGAGCTATGGGGTGAGTCTTGGGAGCTTGGCTAAAGAAAACAAGCCTCTCTTCTCTCTCTCTCTCTCTCTCTTTCCGATTTCAGCGCAGTGGCATTTCAATTGCCCGTCGTTCACAAGTGGAGAGAAAAGAAAAAACATTATTGTCAAGTCAGGCTGACGTTGTGTCTTTTTGTTGGGAATAGATCGGAGAACAGATCCATGGAGAAAGGGACTCTGCGAGATTGAAGAGCCATTCTTTGGCTGAGCATTGCCTCGAGACTCCCCCCTTTGTTGCGCCCGGTGTGCAGGAGTGGCAAGCCGGATGTGGCCCTAATTGATGAAGTACGACTGGAATGACTCTCACAAGAGGAGAAAAAAAAGGGTGGTTGGTATAATGTTTTGGAGTTTCTTGTCCCGTCTTTCCTACAATGTTTGATGGCCCAAGGGGTCTTTTCTGCACACAGCTTTTGCTTTCATTCATTTTCAGCTATTTGAACGTCCTTGTACACTACATATACCAGAGACCTGGGATTTCACGCTGAGCAATTAAAATACTAGGTATCAGCTATTCAGAAGTAAATATAATTTTCGCGACTCCACGCTCTTGAAGCAGTGACGCTCACAATTACTGACGTAACCAAAATTATGGCAGGCAATCTGCCTCGTATGACGCACGCATGCCGGCAGAGTACCTAGACTCACCCATATTTTTCAAATACATTCACTCTTCCCTCCCTGCGAAGTTCCATCATCGCCTCTTTGCTGCTTCCCATGTTCGCCTGTTATTACCATAATGGCTTGTCTATACTGACCCGTTCTCGGCCACAGTTGGAGAAGAATCGAGAGAGCGTTTTTTTGGACAGGCGTGATCTGAAGCAGATAGGACCGTGTAGGTTACTTTGTTGCCATTGTACATCTAAAAGTCGTTGTAACCCATTGAGATAGTCCCAAGTAATGAAAATGGCATATATGCTAGATGACAGGTAAATGTTCGGATCCTGAGATTACATCCAGTTTTCGAGTGACTAAATTACTGAGTAGCGGGAACGGTATTGGTCTGTTCGCGAATAGGCGTCTTGGCCTCGACGACGCCGGTGTTGCTGCCAGCGCTCGTGCTGTTGCGGTCGCTGTCCGAGTCGGCCGCCTTGGGCTTTGCCTTCATAAAGGGGTAGCGGCCGGTGGACTCGCGGAAGCGCATGATGAGGAAGGCGGCAATGACAAAGATCCAGTAGACGTTGTAGGAGATGACGGAGCCGTAGGTAGCCGAGTTGGTCCAACCAAAAATGGCGTTGAGGATGCCCCATGCTTCGGAGCCGGGTGCTTCTGGGCCGCAGCACTGAATTCACGTCAGAATGTGGAAAATAGTAAAGGAAAAAGCAAGATATGTGTGCTTACGTTGACGTGCCAGACGCTGCTATCAATGTCGTAGGAACCCGGGCCGTTGCCAACCTCGGCAGCGTCGCCACCGACGACCTTGTTCCACTTGGCGTTTTCAAAGTCCCAGACGGCGCGGGAAAAGAGGCCGGCGGCGACGAGGTAGAGCAGGCAGGTGGAGGCGACGAGGAAGACTTGCAGCTTGGCGCCGGCACCACCACTAGAGTCAGATTAGCGGCTGAGCGGCAACCGGACGAGGGGGTGAAGGAAACGCATACCGGTATAGAATGTAGCCGACGATGCCGCCGACAAGCAGGCCGCAGACGACAGGTAGAGGAAACGCCGTCGCCGGAGCGGTAAAGGAGACACCAGCGACAAAGATGACGGCCTCGATGCCCTCGCGCATGACCGTGACAAAGGGGAGAACAAACATGGCATACTTTTCCATGAAGCGCTTGACGATGCCCTTGCGGCCGCCGAGGCGCAGCGGGTTGTCGACGGCCTTGGCGAGCTTCACGCGCCACTTGTCCTGCATCTTGGTGACGCGGAGAAGGGCGGCGCCCATGATGGTGATGATGATGGAGCCAAAGAGGGAAAACGCGCCCTCGTAGTAGAGGCCATTTTGGGACCAGGAGGAGCGGCCGACGGTGTAGAAGACACCGATGATGGCGCTGGCAACGACGAGGCAGATGAAGAAGCCAATCAGACTACCGAGCCAGACCTGCGAGGGGAGTTGATGTCAGTAAAGGATGGTGAGGTGGAGGGCAAGGAGCAATGATGGTACCTGTCTGCGAAGTTTCTTGTAAGCGAGGGCATCGCCATCAGGGCCGCCAAGGGTCTGCTTGAGAAAGGCGAGGAGGATGGAGACGATGATGACGGCCTCGAGGGACTCGCGAAAGACGACGATGAAGACGGGCACGGCAAAGACGTTGTTGGCCATGTTGGCTGCTGCGTCTTCTTCTTCTTCTTTGCTCTTGGGTCTAGCTTCCGAATTGACAACCGCAGCAGGAGAGCGGGTTGGTTTTGTGTTGTTTGTCTCGCAACTCAATCAATGTTGGAGTCAAGACTTGGAAGGCCCCGCAACAGCTCAAGTCAGGCCACACTGGAGAGTTGGAGGGAGCGGACTTTGCCGAGGAGGGAATTCGGAAGAGAAAAAGTCGTTGCTTATACAGGGAGCATGGAGAGAGACCGAGAGAGAAAGGAAGAGAGAGAGACGAAACGCCCGTTTTTCAGCCGCGGTGGGGAAGGGTCTTTTCTTGGTTGCAGTTGCTTGTTCGAGAAGAAGAGGCGAAAGCTTCAGCTGTCACAAGGTTGAGATATGGAAATCGGAGGGGTGAGATGCGGAAACCGAGAGGGGTTCGGTTCGGATCAAATAATGGAATGTCAGAAGAACGGTAATAATGAAAGGAATTGTGGCGTTTTTTTTTTTTTTCCTCGTCAAGAGGTCACAAGAAGGTGGTAGAAAAGTTTGGCGAGATGGCCCGAGATGGCTCGAGACTTGGTCTGTGCCGACATCTATATCAATATTGAACAGGACATGCTGGGTTTACGAAGTAGAGGCAAGAGGGTCGACGGGTCGAGTACGGTAAAGTGGATATGATTTGGGAGTGGGGGGATTTATTAGCGGCCGATTAGTGGATTTGGTGATTTTAGCGTTTGCATTAAGGTGCATTGGGCATTATGCAGCCACCGGCATATTTGTGCCGTCTTCAGAGTGGTGCTGCGACTTTGAAGCCGCACTTGTAAAGAGGTCCGAGTGTCTCAATGCTCTTTCTTCCTTCCTTTTTTCTCGACTCTCTTCCGAAGCTTTCGTCGTTGGGAAAAGAATGAAAATTATACCTATATAGTGTTGGTTTATTTATACAATAGCTCTGCCGAGGAGCCGGCTTGGCTCATGCATGCCGAGAGATGTGCTTCCAGGGTCTTGCTACTTGTTCTGGCTCGCCAAGAGAGGCCGATACACTATCTACGTGCTTGGCAGACGATTCGGGCGGGGCATAAGGCAATCAAGTGCCGAGTGCAGAAGATAATTAATCATCGACAGCCGGATGCCCTGGTTGTAATTCATAAGACAGGTAGTTATTGGTATTGAAAACGGTCATATTCACTTCCTTACTCGTAATTGACGTGTTACGGATAAATCCGTACAACTAATCAATACCATTGACACACGAGCCACATGAGCATTCACACCCCGGCAACGCAACAGCCAAAAAGAAAAAAAAAACAATCCATGTACCCAGTATCATCAGACCACTACCGCCCTTTTCTCGTCAGCTTGATCCCCAGAAGCCATTCCCTTGTCGTCGGCCACGCGAGCTACCTCTCCACACCACTCCATTCCGCAACACCCACGCCGTCTAGCAAAGGCTTTCGCCGACGCCACGTTGGAGAAAAACTTTCTTCACGATTTCCCTTGTCTTGTTTTTTTTTATCAATCAGTTGTTAAGCCCTGGCCCCTCCATAATGTGGCGTTGCCGGCTCCATCTCAGCTAATGCTAATCAGATCCTTTTGACCAATCACTGCTCGTCGCCAAACGCCTCATTAAGCCCAGAACTTGGAGCCTGTAGTCGAGGTGCGCGAAAAAGCTGCATTTGTAGAATGATGTTGTCGGATAATCAGGTCACATGCGCTATGCCTTTTTGCTCTCCTCACTTTCTAGTTAGATTCCAAAGCTTGTTGGAACAATACCTCAAGCGAGTCAGTGACTTGCCGGTTTTAGGCCTTTAGCTCGTCTGGCATGCAGGGCCCATGTAACCCTCGTGAAAGGCAAAATATAATCTCTGTGAATTGGAATCGTTTATTGGAGGGGAAGAATTGTCAGAATGAAAATTCGATTTGCATTCCCTGTCTAAATATGGTCGACTGCCCGAATCGACCCGGAGCAACTATTGAGCCGCCGGTTCAACATCACGCAGACCTTGCTCGTTTTTTTTTTTCTTCACTGCTGCCATTTTTTTGCAATTGTTGCCGCAGTTTCAAACGTCTCTTTAGAGTGTCCAGGATATACTCTTGCCATGCATCATGGTCAGATAGCAATGCTTGCAACAGCCGACATCTGTGCACCCCTCCAATCCAACCCGCCAAGTCGGTAGCACGGGTAGGTACGGCTGGCTACCAGTCCACTATTCACAGGCCAACACAGGCTGTCATAACAGAGCACTTGAGCGACCCTGCGCAGACTTTCCGCTAAACAACCCCGCTGTAATAAAGACTGCACCCTTGACCCTGGCTATCTCCAACGCCACATTCAAAAGCGCGGCCCACTCGAAATGGACCCCGCTGGCTTGCCCCATCAGGCAGCTCCAGCCTCTGGTCGGCCACTCACCATTGCACCCAGTCGTCACTGTGGGTGCGTTGCATTTTGCTGCAAGTCAATCGTCCCGCCCGTTCATCGCTTCGACCGTAATCCGTCCCTAGGCCACTGTTCTCTTTTCATTTTCCAAATCCTTCTCAAAAGGACGCAGATATCTTCTCGTCTCTTCTTCCAATACTACTGTAGTTTTTTTACACTCAGAGTCTAAAATTTGCTCAGAATTAATACTTGCTCAGAGTCTCACAAAGCGAGCATTGTACATATAAGAGGCTCGCCATGGCGCACCTCATCAAGACGGCCTCTGCCGCTGCCGCTGCCGCCGCCCTCGTCGGCCTCGCTTCTGCCGCCACCATCACCCACGACTTCAACATCACCTGGGTCACTGCTAACCCCGACGGTGCGCACCCGCGTCCCGTCATTGGCATCAACAACCAATGGCCCATTCCCCGCCTCGAGGTCGACATTGGCGACCGCCTCGTCATCAATGTCAACAACCAGCTCGGCAACCAGTCCACGTCGCTGCACTTTCACGGCCTCTTCCAGAACGGCTCCTCGCTCATGGACGGACCCTCTGGCGTCGTCCAGTGCCCGATTCCCCCGGGCTCCTCCTTCACCTACAACTTCACCGTCGACCAGCCCGGCACCTATTGGTACCACTCGCACACAAACGCCCAGTACCCTGACGGCCTGCGCGGGCCGCTCATTGTCAATGACATAAACTTTCCGTACAAGAACCGCGTCGACGAGGAGCGCGTGCTGACGCTGTCGGACTGGTACCACGATGAGATGCAGGACCTCATCCCGGGCTTCCTCTCCAAGGGCAACCCGACGGGCGCCGAACCCGTCCCCAAGGCGGCCCTCATGAACGAGACGCAGAACTTGTCGCTGCCGGTGCAGCCCGGCAAGACGTACATGTTCCGCGTCATCAACATTGGAGCTTTTGCCGGCCAGTACCTCTGGATTGAGGGCCACACCATGCAGATTGTCGAGGTCGACGGTGTCTACACCAAGATGGCTCCCGCCGAAATGGTCTACATCTCGGCGGCTCAGCGCGTCAGCTTCCTGCTTACCACCAGAAACGACACCTCGGCCAACTTTCCCATTGTCGCCTCCATGGACACCGTAAGTCATGCGCAGAACAATTACACGCAAACGTTGCAAAGCGCACACATTAACAGCGTGGGCAGACTCTCTTTGACATCCTGCCCGACGATCTCAACTACAACTCAACCGGCTGGCTCACCTACGACGAGAGCAAGCCCAAGCCCGACGCCAAGACTGTCGACGCGCTCGACGCCTTTGACGACATGACCCTGGTTCCCTACGACGAGATGGCGCTGCTTCCTGAACCCCACAAGACGGTAGAGCTCGACGTCGTCATGGACAACCTCGGCGACGGCGCCAACTATGCATTTTTCAACAACATCACCTACCAGTCGCCCAAGGTGCCGACCCTCTACAGCGTCCTCTCTTCGGGCGAGCAGGCTGTCAACCCCACCGTCTACGGCGAGTACACGCACCCGTTTGTCCTCGCAAAGGACGAAATCGTCCAGATTGTCGTCAACAATCTCGACACGGGCCGCCACCCTTTCCATCTCCACGGCCACCACTTCCAGGCCGTACACCGCTCGGCCGAAGAGGCCGGCACCTTTGCCGATGAGAATGTGACCGAGGCCCAGCTCGGTAAGGTGCCCATGCGCCGCGACACGCTCGTCGTCTGGCCCAACGGCAACATTGTGCTGCGCTTTAAGGCCAATAACCCGGGCGTCTGGCTGTTCCATTGCCACATTGAGTGGCACGTCGTCTCGGGCCTGCTCGCCACGTTTGTCGAGGCCCCGCTCGAGCTGCAGAAGCAGTTTACGATTCCGCAGAACCACCTCGACAATTGCGCGGCCGCGGGCATGGCCACGCAGGGCAACGCGGCGGCCAACACAAACGATCTGCTGGATCTGACGGGGCAGCCTGCGCCTCCTCGTCCTCTGCCTGCTGGGTACGTTTTTTTACATGACATATGCGAAGGTATAAACACGAAGAAACTTGTACTGACCGAGGTTAGGTTCACCACGCGCGGCATCATTGCTTTCGTATTTAGCTGCATTACGGGTATCCTGGGCGTCTTGGTCGTGGCGTGGTACGGCATGTCTGCGCCCGCCAAGACGACGCGCGACCACGAACCACTTGTTGGTCATGACCACGGTGCCTCGGAGGTGCGTGAAGCGCCGGCTGCTGCGGCCACTGCGGGCGAGACGACGCCGGCGACGACTGCAGGGACGAATGCGGCTACGGCCACGTCGAGTTGATCAAGATACCCAGCAAGAGGAGGGAAAGGGAATTGTATTGGATATATAATGGCTGTGAATAAGATATAGAGACGATATTGCGTGATTAATGAAGATGAGCATCTCCATGTGTGTGTGTGTGTGTGTGTGTGTCATGAGGTGGTGATGTGAGATGATGGCAACATGAAAAGCGACAAAAACACCAAGACGAGAGACTCGGGATCACCAGAAGGGACAAACAAGAACAAATGAAGAACAAGAATCAAAGCGAGCAAGTGGATAAGGCTTTTCATGAGTAAAATGGAGTCAAATGTCACTGTTTGCTACAAAGAATCAACCAGTGAAAACCAGTGAAGGAAGCAAGGAAAAAAAAATCAAGTCAAATAGCAACACCTGGTCTCGATCCAGGGACCTACGGGTTATGAGCCCGTCGCTCTTCCACTGAGCTATGTTGCTTATTTGTATTTTGTGCTTGATGAGAGGCAAGCACTCGATGGAAGCGACGCGAGCTAAATGTTACTTAAAAAGGTTCAAGGAGGACATCGTGTGAGTCAGAAGTAAAATTTTGTATTACCGGGCCCGCAACGGTGTGGGGAGGGGGGGTTCCGGTTCGGAGAAGGTGTGGAGTTTGGGCACGCGAGCTGTGGTAATGTTGCCGCGCGGAAGCGCGTAGATGAGGAGAAATCGGGCTTTATAGGATAAGAAGTGTGTACTTTCTTAGCATATGCAGTTACATTGGTATCTATTTGACTGGAGACAACAGTAGGCGGTTGGTGAGATCAAGGCGTTGGTGTTTGTTGGTTGATGGCTGTTAATAATAGGATGTTGTTATACCCACTTACACGGCGCCACCAACAGAATGAAAACTGCCGTTGAGTAGATGCTAACCTATACAAGGATATTGAATATTGAAATCACCTCCGAACAAAGATTTTATGATGCGGGAGTGAAATTATGAGGCTCTGATTGGGATGCTGCGCTCTCATTATGAGGGGTTTCATTCGTGAAGTGCACCCTTGTGGCGGCTGCATCGTGCAGGAGGACTTGATATCATGCATCAACAGCCCGACCACTTTCTGCATAGTTCGCACGACCTATAAAGATTGTTTATTCCCCCCTCTTTTTCGCTTCAGCAATAGTCCCGTTATATTATGTTGATGGCCATCCAGCTACCCTTGTGGCAAACAGGAGCCTCGTAGTAGTGTCGTCAGCCTCTGCCTTCTCAGTTGATGTCTCACCCCCTCAGACGTCATGCTGCAGCGCGTACCTAGGTAGCGTCTCCCTCTGTGCTTGAGCTACAGTTCAACACTAAATACAAGAAGAAGCCTCAATCAGCACGATTTTAAAAAAAGAAAAGGGGGGTTAAATCGCAAACACTAGCTGCTAGATTTCTGCGCCGTCGTCTTCTTTTTTTATTATGGCCTGATCTGCGCAGGTACAGTACAGCTACAGCCCTGGCACCAACGTTCCTGTCAAACTGTACCAGTACATGTCATGTAATGCGGTTGGCTAGCCAGATTCAGGACAACAAGCCACCCCCTCAGATGATCACATTTTCCCTACTTGTTGTCACTTTTATAAATACAGTGTAGCTCAAGTGCCGAGCTTGTCGCCATTCATTCTTCAACCTCTCTTTTCTTTTCTTCTCTCTCGTTCTTGGGCATGCCACAAGTTGCCGTACACACCACCACTTCTCGACACTCTCTGCTTCCAACTATCATTGCTGAAGCGCGCCAGGAATATCGCCACAAAACGAGGCGCTTGTCTGCGCGCGACCGACCGGGCGACATGGGAAGCAGCTTCAACCCAGGCATCGTCTACATGACGGTATGAAGAACCATCTACACCGCTGATATTTTGACATGTGTTTCTTTCTTTTTGTCTTCTTTTTTTTTTCCCTCACCAAGCTTGATTCATTAATTCCACACTCTAGGCCAGCCTAGTCCTCTTTGCCATTGCCGTGTAAGTTCCCCTCCATCTTCTGTGCATTTACAAGCGCCTCGAACCGCACCGCTGACAATCCATTCCCTTCAGCGTCCTCCATTTCCACAGCCAGCACCTCTCTCTCCCCCTCTCCCCCGTCGTCACCGTCGTCACCGTCATCCTTCCCGTCGCCGCCTTTCTCAACGCCTTTGTCTACCCCAACCTCCTCCACACCTCCTCCTCCTCCACCACCACCTCCATCCTCCGCGTCCTGCCCGCCGCCCTGCAGGGCCTGCAAGCCGTCGTCGCCACCGCGCTCGCCACCATCTTCGTGCAGGGCTTCGCATCTCCCTCGCGCGGCTGCGCGCTCGACGCCGCCTGGCAGCGCCTGTACGACGCGCGCGATGCCGACGCCGTCCGCCGCGTCCAGGACACGCTGCGGTGCTGCGGCTACGCCGACCTGAACGACCGCGCGTTTCCGTTTGCGAGCTTGATACAGCAGACGTGCCGAGAGATTTATAACAGGGACAAGGCGTGCGAGGGACCGTGGCGGGCCGCCATGGCGACGCACGCGGGGATTGCGTTTGCGGTGGTCTTGACGGTGGCGCTGATGCAGGTGAGTTGCTAAACAGCTCGTGAAAGACAGGAAAAGATGGCAAGCGTTGGGTGGTGCGAGATTTTCTAACAGTTGGCATAGATTCTCGGTCTGATATTGATGCGACCGGGTACGAACTGGTGGACGGCTCTGCGAACGCCAGAAGACGAAGGGGACGACGACGACGACTACGACGAGCACAGCAGGTTGTTGGGCCGCGAACAAGCATCTCAGCAAGGCGCGTCTTCTACTCCTGTAGCTGGACCGTCAACCTACGCCGAGGCAGCCCGATGATGCTTGATCGATAATCATGACGGAGAATAAAGATTGAGACAGAATGTGTCTTGTGTAGCCCATCATTCATTCACGCACTTGATTTAGCTAGGCGTTGGTTTTCGAGGCTCACTGACTTTGAACCGGAGAGATATGCTCACTTTGACTAGACAGTATCACTAAATCACATTCAAACTGCCTGCTTTCGCTCCTGCAAACAATGTTCAGCTCATCTTGTTAATTCAACGCCTTATAATAACCACCCCTAAAATACAATTGCTATGCTGATGCAGGTCCTCCGCACTTCTACCTCCTCCGTCGCTCCCGCGCTTCTTTACCCAGCTTCGCCAGCGCCGTCTCGTACTCGCGCACCCTCTCCTCGCTCATCTCCTCCACTCTCGCGCGCTCCACCCTTTGCGCGCGGCGCACGCCGGCGCCCTTTGCAATCTTGCCCCAGAACCAGCCGCTCTCGCCGTCGGCCACCAGCGTCCACGCGCAGCCGGGGCGGCCCGCGCGCGCCGTGCGGCCCACGCGGTGCACGTACCCGGCCAGGCTCGCCGGCAGGTCGTAGTTGACGACGTGCGCGAGATTGGGAATGTCGATGCCGCGCGCGACGAGGTCCGACGCGACGACGAGCCGCACCGGCGAGGACGGGTCGGTAAAGGCGCGCAGGGTCCGGCGCCGCTGCGAGGTGGCCGTTGTGGAGGTGACGGTGCTAATGTGTGTGTCAAGGGAGGGGTCGAGCAGCGTGAGGAGGCGGGATAGGCGCAGCGCGGACTCGTTGGATTTGGTGAAGATGAGGGCCATGGGGAGCTTGGTAGGCTTTTTGGGCGTGGCGGGCGCCGCCGAGTCGGAGTCGGACGATGAGTCGGATGATGAGTCGGAGCTGGAGTCGGAGCTGGAGTCGGAATCAGAGTCGCTGTCAGAGTCTGATTCTGAATCTGAGCTGCTGTCAGATGACGAATCCGAGTCGGAACTGGGCGTGTTCGAGCCTGCGACCGACTTGACATCGATCTCTTCCACACTTGCCATCGCGGACTGTTCCTGCGCCGCCATGAGCCCCCCGCGCAAGAGCTCAAGCAGGTACAGCGGCTTGAGGTTGGCGTCGTGCACGCGTGTAGCAAACTCGCGGAGCAGCGCCGGTAACGTGTGCTCCGAGACCTGCTGCGTCTCAGCCGCGGCGGCCGCACCATCTTCCGCATCCAGCACGACAAGTTGCGGCCGATGCAGTGCCAGCTGATTCAGCAGGCTGAGGTCGCGCGTCAGCGTCGCCGACAGCACCACCTTGCGCACGCCAGTGTGCGGCATGCCAGGAAAGTCACGCGCGCCGTACAGCGACGACGCGCGGAACCGCGCCATGACCGTCTCCAGCCAGCCCTGGAAGCTCTGCGCGAGCAACTTGTCGGCCTCGTCAATGACGAGCCACCGCACGTAGTCGAGGTTGAAACCGGCCGTCTGCTCCATGTGCTCGACGAGACGGCCTGGCGTGCAGAGGAGCACATCGACCGTCGATGTGAATTCCACGACTTCGCCGTTCCATGGGCCGAGTCGCGCATCTCGGTCCTCGTCATCCATTTCCACGTCGGCCGATGCGGGTAAGCCCTTGGCCTTGAGATTTTCCTGCAGTATCCTGTTATATGTGTCCGGGTCATATCTCGACTCCCGCTCGACCAGCATTTCCTGCTCCGCTTTCAGCTGCTGGCTGCCGACCGAGACGCCAATGCGCACGCGCTTCCGATCGCTGCCCTCGTAGGTCTTGGCGCAAAGCTCAAAGACTTCTTGCGCCTGTCGTACGAGTTCGCGAGTGGGCAGGACCACCAGCGCGCGCAGCCTCGTCACCACGCCTTGGCTAATGTCGTCGACAATGGGCAATGCGTAGGCTAGCGTCTTTCCCGACCCAGTAGCAGCGGATATTAAAAGATCACCCGGAAGGCTCTTATTGTTCGGTAATAAGAGAGGAATGGCGGCAGTCTGGACGGCAAATGCGTCGGCATAGCCCTTAATCTGCAATGCCTCGGCCGTTTTGGCGGGAATGCCCGCGTCGATAAAGCTGGTTCGTGTAGACTGCTTTACGCGGATGGGAGCTGATAGCCAAGAAGGCAGGGTATCGTATGTGGGTGTGGCATCCTCCTCTTTGGGTTGCTCGGGCTGTGGCAGTGGCTCTAGGCCGTGCTGTTCAACTTCCTCCTCAGGCTCCTCTGCGATTTGATCTGCGGCAGCCTCACTCGCCATTTTCAGCGACTTGGCCATCTGTTCGAGTACAGACTTGTGTCTTTCATTTTGGTCGTCGTCGTCTTCGGCGGGCGACTCTTCGACTCGCTTCTTCTTATCGCGCTTGGCCTTCTTCTTTTCAGAAACTGGAGCGGCTTCCGTGCCAGTCAGGGATGTATCGCCGTCTGTGTCAACATTCCTTTTTACTTGAGTCTCTTCTTCATCCTCTTCTGATCGCTTCTTTTTCTTATCCTTCTTTTCCTTCTTGTCCTTTTTTGTCTTTGCAGATTTCGTCTTCTCGCCGGCTTCTCGATCCGCCGTTTTGGACTTTTTGGATTTTCTGTCTGTAGATTCGTTTATCGTATCCGCATCAGCCCTCTTTCGTTTAGGCTTTTTCGAACTCGACTCGTCTTCTGCCGACTCTGTAGCTGGCGCATTCGTTTGGCCCGGCACACGACGAGCGTTCTGCCGGCCAGAGCTGGTCGCAGCAGTCTGACCGCCGGCAGAAGGCACATATCTCGCATACATTCCGTTGCAAGACCCAATGGGTAGTCGTTGTGCCTTAATGCGATCTTGAGAGTCGTACTATTTAGAAATTGGCTTTTTTTTTGGTACATTGTCCCGCCGCTAACAGCTTGCTTCCCAAAAATTTGGGCGCGCCACAGCTTATCGCAATTCTGCTGGTTTACACCGCTGAGCTTATCGACCCCACCAGCCACGACTTGGCGCAGGGGTCGCCATTTGGCAGCCAATCATCACTTGGCGCATCGCCAGGAGGCGCGGCTACTGGAGGCCAGCTATGAGCTCCCTGTAGCCCATCTCAACGTCGCATCTCATCCCAATGAGGCGCGCCAGAGTTGCCAGGCCAGACACAAGAGGACAAGGGCTGTGGTAGCTGCCTGCTCATCAATCATGGGCCGTCGCAGGTATAATATCGCCATGGTGAGCGACTTCTTCTTCCCCCAACCCGGGGGCGTCGAGGCGCACATCTACCAGGTCTCAAGCAAGCTCATTGATCGCGGGCACAAGGTCATCATCATCACGCACGCGTACGGCAACCGCACAGGCGTCCGCTACCTCACCAACGGCCTCAAAGTGTACTATGTGCCCTTCTTCATCATCTACCGTGAAGCGACCTTTCCCACCGTCTTCTCCTTCTTTCCCATATTCCGTAACATTTGCATCCGCGAACAGATTGAGATTGTCCACGGCCACGGCAGTCTGAGCAGCATGTGCAACGAGGCAATTCTGCATGCCCGGACCATGGGCCTGCGCACCGTTTTTACAGACCACTCGCTGTTTGGCTTTGCCGACGCTGCGAGCATTCTCACCAACAAGCTTCTCAAGTTCTTCTTGAGTGATGTCGACCACAGTATATGCGTCAGCCACACATGGTCAGTATGCGACGCATCACTGCCCGCAACCGATGCTGACTAGTATATAGCAAAGAAAACACGGTATTGAGAGCGTCATTAGATCCTCTCATGGTCTCCGTCATTCCCAACGCCGTAGTCGCAGAAAACTTTCGCCCACGCGACTATCCAGTTCACGGAGACCCCAGCAGCGCCTTTGGCCCCGAGCGCAGCCCCACGCGCTTTGGTCCCAACGACATGATTACCATTGTCGTCATCTCGCGGCTATTCTACAACAAGGGCACCGACCTGCTCACCGCCGCCATTCCGCGCATCCTGGAAAACCACCCCAACACGCGCTTCATCATTGCCGGCTCAGGTCCCAAGGCCATTGACCTTGAGCAGATGATTGAGAACAATGTACTCCAGGACCGCGTCGAGATGCTTGGCCCCGTCCGCCACGAAGAGGTGCGCGACGTCATGGTCCGCGGCCACATCTATCTGCACCCGTCCCTCACTGAAGCCTTTGGCACCGTCATCGTCGAGGCCGCCAGCTGCGGCCTATACGTCGTCTGCACGCAGGTCGGTGGCATCCCCGAGGTGCTGCCTTCGCACATGACTACCTTTGCCAAGCCCGAGGAGGACGACCTTGTCCTCGCCACGGGCAAGGCCATCACCGCCGTTCGCGCCGGCAAGGTCCGCACCGACCGCTTCCACGACGAGGTCAAGAAGATGTACTCGTGGGACAATGTCGCCCAGCGCACCGAGCGCGTCTACGACGGCGTCACCGGCACCATCCCCGAGGAGGTCTTTTACGGCTTCGACACGGGCGGTTATAACGGCTCCCGCGTCCGCAACTTTGCCCTCGTCGACCGCCTCAAGCGCTACTACGGCTGCGGCATATGGGCCGGCAAGCTCTTTTGCCTTTGCGCCGTCGTCGACTACCTCTTCTTTCTCGTTCTAGAAGTACTCCTCCCCCGCGAGAATATAGACACGTGCCCCGACTGGCCGCGCAAGCTCGCCAAGGACCGCCAGAGCAAGTCGAGAAACCAGTCCGCCTCCTCACAAGGCGGTGCAAAGCCGACTTGACGGGTTTGTATATTATATTGTCGCGCGCAGCATCGCATTCCTTGTATGATATCATATGGTGGGAGAGTAGAGGGCTACACGGCGTTTAGGTATTGGTGCATCACAAACATATTTTGGAGGGAGGTAGCATAGCACCCAATATATACAATGCTATGAGCGTATTATGAATTATACATTGGTGTCGACACGACTACTCGCATTTCTCATGTCAAGTTCGCTTAAACACGTGTTTGAAGATTCAAAAAAGAGGAGAGGATTCGCTGTACACAGTGATCAAACACAAGCTATCCCATCCTCTGCTGCTACCGATTCCATCGTCTGAGAAGAGGGTTCCTCGCCCGTTCTGCTTCTCGAGTCAACGCGGGTTGCTTCTAGCTTCTCGCGGAGACGCGCCGTCTCTTCGACGACGATGGACCGTCCCCCTCTCCCTCGTCATCTTCCTCTGCCGTATCATCAGCCGCAGCCGCACTCGTTTCCGTCGTAGCCACGGCAGCGGCAGTGCCCGTGGCAGCAGTTGCGGCGGCGGGCGGCGGCGGCTCGCGGTCCTTTTCTGCACTGCGCAGGTCGCTGAGAAGCTTTTCGACCTCGACGAACATGCCGCGCGTGTTCCGGACCACGCCATCCTCGTCGACGCGATAACCCACCACTTCCTCTTCGTCGTCGCGTAAGCGTTTCATGAATGCCCGGCCGGGGCCGCGGTCGGGGTCCGGATTGTACATGATGGCGTTGCAAAACATGTGAACAAGCTCCCGCTCCAACTGTGCGCTGTTGATGATGGATTGAGGCGGTGTCAGGTCTTCCGAGGCGGGCAGCCAAACGCTCGGGCCGCCAGGGTCACCACCGGGAAGGTTCGACGCAGCGGTAGAGGCAGCCTTATTGCCATGCTTGATTGCTGCGCGGATTTTCGTGATGTCCTGGGGCTGGAGCACAATCTGGTGGTAGCCAGGTGCGTCGCGCTCGCGGATACCCGTGGCAAACATATTCGCATCTCTATGGCTCGAGATCTGATCTAGTGCCGATGACGAGACTTTGGTGAAACCTCGTGTCCATAGCACATGAGTTGGTGGTACAGGAGGCTGCTGCGGGGTATCTTGTCGCTTCCGCTTGTACGGCCGCGACGAAACGCTACCTGGAGTTGCCATGTGCTTACCATGAACACTTTCATCTGCAGTGGTGTCTCCGGTTTCATCGTGTAGGCGTGGAGTAGAAGCTTCCATTTTGACCTTTGTGGGATAGTCCGTGGATGGTTCGTCTGCCTGGGAGACGGCTGACTGGGAGACGGCTGACTGGCTGCGCCTTGTCCCGGCTGCGGACGGCGTGGAGCTGACAGCTCTGTCTGGTTGGCTGGTACGGGATGAGCGGTTCCGGCTCGCGGGCTCCAGCTTCTTTGGCGTGTCCTTGACAGACAAGGATCTTGACGATCCCCGCGCGATTGAGCTAGCTCGCTGGGGCGGACTGACAGGCTCAAAGGCCGGGCTCTCGGGCTCCTCCATGATCGGCCTGGGCGTTGACGGGGTGGAGTGAGACGCCCATTTAGTGCCGAATCCTCTAGTTAACGGCATAGCATTGACTTGTACAGGAGTTTGAGGTTGCGACGGGGCAGCGGATCGCTTGCCTTGCGGTGTGCTGACTGCTTGGCGGATCATGTGCTCGGGAATGGCGGGCTTCGGGGGACCATACGGCGACTTGTCCAGATGCGCAGGTGAGTGTGTTCTAGAGAGAGGTTTATGTTGGCCGGGCGGTGGCTGGGCTGGGGCCAATTTCGGCGGGACATTTTGAGTTGCTGGCGTCGGATGCGGCGATGCGGACGCCAGAGGTCGAAAAGTCTGAGGATGCGGCTGTATTGGACGGCCAGATATATGACCTGCAGTGACCGCAATCGGGCGGTGCTGAGGATGTTGCGGCGGTATGCCTTGTGGAGGTTGTTGCTGGGCGTGGCTTAGGCTGGGAGGATTGGGGATGGGACGTTGCTGGCCGTGCGCTGCCGCCTGCGCTTGTTGTAATTGGGCTTGGGCAGCGGGGTTTTGAGAGGTGCCTTGTTGAGGGATGGGTATATGGGTTCCTGGGTATGGTTTTGAGCCACCAGGGGTAGCGCCAGGTCTGGCAGGTTGTAAAGCCTGGCCAGGTCGCGGAGGCTGAGGAGGTTGCTGTTGCGACTGCGGTGGCGGACCAGCTGTTGGCTGAGTACCATTCGCGGGCTTTGATGATGGTGCTGGTCTTTTCGGTGGTGTTGGCGCTGGCATGTGCGGATGTCCAGCTACCGCTGGGGGCCGCGCGCCAGCTCCAGGAGCTTTTGGTGTTGGAACCACGGCGCCCCTCTTGATGCCGGGCACAGCTCCTGGTGTCGATCCCGGCGATGGGCTAGAACTGTTGGAACCCAAGGGAGTATTCTTGGTGTCACGCGGGGCGAGGACGGGCGCGCCGCTCTGGGACGCTGACCTGGCCAAACGCTCCTTTTCGCTCTTTTCCAACAGCTGTATCTCCTTTTGTACCGTGGCGAACTTGCGCTCATCCTCTCTGATCTGCCTCACAACGTGATCACGGTAGCGAGCATACAGGCGCTCCACCAATGCCGGCACTTTGCTGACATGCTGGTAGGCCTCATTCAGTGTCGGTATGGACGGGGCTGTAATCTTTCGCTTCTTGGACGGCGAAGCTCCCGCCTGGGCTGCCTCGGCGCGCTCGGCGTCGCTCCTGAGCTCCTCGCGCAGAAGCAACAGGAACAGCTGCTGTAGCGCGTTGGGGCTCAGCCGCGCGGCATCGAAAGTCTCTCCGCTCTTGATCAGCGCATTGCTCCTCAGCGTCTCCGAGATGTGCGTAAACGCGTCGGCGTCGATACCGTGATTGAGGAGGGATTGGAAGAGGAAAAGTGACTCAAGAGGTGTGTACGTCGTCGGGGTACTCATGCCGGGCTTAGGCCCGCCTCGCCAATGCTCGAGGGGGCCGTTGCGCTGTGCGAGTAGTTGTATAGGCGCCACGGTCGAGACGGGGGCCGGAGCTGATGTTGGGTGTTGTCCGAGGCGGCCCGGAGACGCCAACGCGGGCGGGATCGAGCTGCCACTGGGCGTCGGCGCGTTAAGGGGGTCCGAAACGCGTGTTGAGAGGCGCGGCCGCGGGCAAGTATTAAGCTCTAGATGACTATCATTTGATTTTCGATGAATTTGCGCGCCGTTTTGCGGTAAATGATTGTCGGCTTCTGGCGTCTTTGATTTTTCACAAATGCGAACGAATGTCGAGAAATCACGTGAGTTGATATGAAGGAGACGAGTTGCTCCAAAAGATGGCCAAACTTTAGGGGGGAAGTGCCTGTCGGTCCACTGTAATGTCCACTGTATCGCCTAAATCAGGCTAGCCCGGGCTTGCTGCAGGCGCTAGACGGATCGTCAGCGATGGACGCGGGGGTAAAATAGCTTCACGAGGGTAACAAGTCGATAAATCTTGTCTTTGAAATTGAAGTAAAAAATTTGAAACGAGGAGGAGAAAAACAGTACATTCGAAGATTTTTCAAGGAAAAGGAAAAGTATAAGTCAAAGTAGAAGCGCCGGAATATGCTCGCTGACTGAAAAGACAATATGATACACGTACTATCATCACCCCCCAACTGCCCAGCCTATCTTGCTCGGTCGAGTTCCAAGACGGTTCCATTGACTTGCAAGGTGCGCTTCAGCCACTGTAGATTGTCCGGCGGATAGTATTCGTCTGCATCGATGCGCGAGGCCCAGAGCCAAATTAGCGTCCAGCAGAGGCCCCTCGCGATGCGCGGGCCGTCCCAGGGCAAGCGCACGAAAAAGGCGCCGACGATGCCGGGCACGCGCAGCATAAACGCCAGCTTCTCGTCCCAGCCGCCGTCGCCGCGGCCGCCGAGAATGGTCAGCGCGGTGATGACGCACGATGCGGCGAGGGTGCCAAACTGGACCAGCGTGACGGTCCGCGAAATGTCCGGGTCGAACATGACGATCCAGATGCTGGCGCTCACAAAGGTGGATAGGATGATGGACATGCTCACGTCGACCTGCACCTGCGACGTAAAGTCAAAGTTGAGCATGGCGACGCCGGGCATCATTAAAAGCAGCCACAGGCCGAGCTTCCAGAGAAAGCGGCGCAGCCGGCCGCCGCGGATAACCAGGTCGAAGAAGACGTAGAGGATGAAGAGCCCCTCGACGACGACGCTCATGAGCGCGACGCTTATCATGCTGGCCGGCGGCGGTGGCGGCCGGAGCAGCGCAACTGCTCCACGATTTCCGGACCAAGAGTAGATGAAGGGACAAAAATCACGAAGAGAATCAAAGAAGCTGCTTGGGTTGGAGGATGCGTTGGAGACGTGCTATTACCTTTTTAGTTTGCTGAGGTCAAAGCCGTGGGGATTTGGTGGCGCTGGATACCTAAGGTAGGTACCTCTATTACAGCAAACGAGTGGATTGTAGCCTAATTTGTAGGTACGATCACTGGTGCTGTCCACCACGTTTTCTCGACACCAACAGAATCATCACACTGCCAGCTTTTACTGCACTCTGACCAAACACTACAAAGCTCAAGATAGAATCGTTTTGATTATCCTACTCTGTTATAGCACACACATTTGCAAAACTATCCTCATCCAGGAGGAAGTCACACGCAGCCAATATACCATGCAGAAACGCACAATGTTAAATCGCAGAAACGCCGTCCCAATGGTATCATCGCAGTGCGCAGGAGACTTTTCTTCTCTCCTTGCATCACTGCACTAGTAAAGCCCAAGTATTGCAACCAAGCAGGAATAAATAACACCGTAACTCCCATGTCATCCAACCACTGGATGCGACAGGAATCCCATACACCCAGACAAATACAAAAGTCAAGTTTAAATACAAAGCAAAGAAAAAAAGGAATCATGGCGATGATGATGTGTTTGAGCTGCTCTCGGCACTGCCAAAGCGCTCTTCAATAGGGTTGCCCGACCCTCTGTCCTTGGGCGGCGTAGTGAGTCGTAATTTTTCGTCAAGCAATGTGACGAGTCGCTCAGAATATTGGTCCAGTAGTCCACTGAGAACAGTTTCATTCATAGCCTTGCTACGAATGGCGCGGTCTCCCAAGGCGGCAGCTGTCAGACGAAGTTCTTGATCCAGCTCTGTCAAACATTCGGCAGTGATTGGCTCGGCAGACGAGAGCTTGCGCCGGTATGCTCGCAATGTACGGCATGCTTGCTCTGTGGCTGTATTCAACGTGTTTTGCGCTCGCAGATTTGTTGCCGAGGTTTTCTTGCGTGCCACAGCGCCCATCGCTGGCAAAGACGGTCGGCGACTGACGCGTCCCTTAGGGCTAGGCGGCGGACTAGCTCCCTGGCTCTCAGAAGGTCTGCGCCTTGACGGCGTACTTTCAATGATTGTACTGTTGCCTTGTCCGTTCAGTGTACCAGGAGGGGTTTTTAGATTGAGACGCGAACTTCGTCGCGGTAAAGTGCGGGGCGGTGATTTTTGTCTGTTACTGTTGGGAGTCGAGCGCTGGAACTCGGCAAGCTCGGCTCGAGAGAGGATCTTTCGCAACGTGGGTCTGCCAGTGATGCTGATTTCTTTTGCGGGTGACACTTCCCGGCTCATAGATCGTGGGGAAAACTCAGTAAAATCCAACAGCCAAATCATGATAGTGCCGTCTGATGCGGCACTGACCACCTTCTTTGAACCGTCATCATCCTCCACGATGCACACTCCGTTGATGGCCTCTGTGTGCCCCCATTCACGGTCGAGAAACAAGCCTGATCGAGCATCATACAACCTAATCGATTTATCGGTGTTGGAAGTGCCCAGAATGAAGTCGAGATCACGAGCCGGCCAGTTACCAAGGGTCAAACCATCTAGCACAGCAGACTCGACGCCGCCTTCATCTGTACACTTGAAACAAGAGACTTGCCGTCCAGTGAAGAGGTCGAACTGGAATACGGATCGATCTAACAGCGAAATGTAGACGCTGCGCCGGTCAGGCCCCATAAGCAGGCTCGTGGGTGATGCTTTGAGAGAGATGATCTTGGATGGGATCGCTGCAATGACGTCGGGCTCGCCATCACGAGTAACCAGGTCATGAATCTGTAAAGAACGGTCCAGAGAACAAGTAATGACTTTGTCATCCGACGGGACTAGAACTTGAACAACCCGTGCACTGAACTCGAGTGTCTGGAAATGTTCAGTCCGCCCATTGGACAGCTGGTGAAAGAGCTGTACCGTCCTGTCACGGCCGCAGCTCGCAATGATAAGTTTCTTAGGGGTCTCGCAGACGCTAATACCAACACAGTGCATAGAGTGGGCTTTGGTGTCGAGCAGCAATTCCTTAGTATCCACATCAAAGATTCTTAAGATACCGAGGCGGTCTCCGATGATAAGCTGCTTGCCGTTGCGCAATGTTTCGACGCAAGTGGCTTGGTTGCTGACGCCCATTTCCGAGTCAATCTCAACCGCATCGATGGGCACGTCTACCGACATCTTCTGTCGGCCCTCTGTATCCCAAAATGTCACATTGCCTGAGCCAGACCACGTGATGAATGAAGCATCCGGCTTATTCGGGCGGCGAAGCGGATGCACTCCGTTAATGGATTCGCCATGGCCAGGGATGGGAATGTGAGCGATTGCGTCCTGCTTTTGACCTGGTAGATGATCGCGGGACCAAATATCGATGGACTGTTTTGAGTCAATGGTGACGAGGTTATCGTTTAAAAAGCCCAGAGCGAGCACTCCAGTAGCTGCCGTCGCCGTGGTCAAGACGCAATCGTCACCTCCGCCGTCCATGACAGCTGATACATCCAGAGTCGCGAACGAACCGTCTTTACATCCAACATAGGCAACATCTCCACGTATGGTAATAGTCGTAATCGCAAAGTTCAACGTGACCGCCTTGACAAGCTTCATTTGTCGATCGTCATCGTCCATGATGCAAACATCGCCAGCTTCGGTGCATACAAGCAGTCGATTTCCGTCCACGGCAGCGCAGGTAAAGGTAGCATCGAGGAGGCCACCCAACAGGACATTACGGCCGGGGAGCGTTTTCTGGGAAGATGTCGGTGTAGAAGGAGCAGAGTCATTAAAGTGCCGACTCTTTGTCGGAGAAGAAGACCCGTCCTCGATCCTCCAAATCTTGACATGTCGCACGCCAAGTGTAATCAGGTTGCTTCCCATCCACGTCATGTGTCGGATGTACGAAGTACATCGGTTCTGCTGGAACAGCCTTGTTTGTCCAGTGCGAGGGTCAACCTTCCAGATGTAGAGGAAGCCATCATTGGCGGCACCCAGAGAGGCGAGATATCGTGAATCCGCCGACCAAGCCACGGCGTTTACACCAAAGGTGTGCTCGCTGATGGAGACGAGCGGTGTATCGGATGATGCTTCTTGGAGGTTAAAGATTAGGACGCGAGGAGCATAACCGGTTTCGCCTACGGCAAGAAATTTGCCATCTCGGCTGAGGGCAACACAGGTGGCTGCCTTGATCCGTTCTCTGCTGGTCCAGGTTTTGGAGGTGGGAGAATCGGCCCAATCCAGCGAGCCGTAGACGGAGTCTCTATTTGATGGAGCGACTCTGCCGCGGCTATCATTGGCCTTGGGAGTAGTGGTGGTGGGCGTGCTCGAGGTGTTCTGCAGAATGTTGAGGGCATTATGGACAGGAACAGCAGCAGGACGAGCTCGGTAAAAATGCTGGCTGTAGGTTCCATTTTCGACATTGACGACCACGACAGCTCCCCCAGCAACATAAGCAATGGAAGAATTCACGGTGTCGAAACCGGTCTGCGAACGGCAGGTAGTGCCGACGACTCTCCGCAAGGAGAGCCAGGATTCTTGCTGTCGGCCGCGCATTGGGGATCTTGAAGGACGTCCAAGATACGGCGAATTGGAGGGAGTCAGCTTCAGCCGGCTGTTGGATGGCGTAACAGCAACCATTTCGTAGCCATTGACTTGAGGGGACGGGTGTATATGCAATGGCCGAGTTCTGTTAGTGTGGACGATCGGGGTGGGTGATGTTGGTATCTCGGGCGACAAATGAGGGTCTGATGGGCAGTATAATCGGCAGACAGAGAACCGCGCACTAGCCAAGATCTATATATAACGGCGTCGAGCGTATATGTAGCAATTGAAGAGCTGAGACTGTTGTCAGTGTCCGAGCCGAGTTCGCGTCCTCCTAGGAAGATAAAGCGAGAGAGGTACATACAGAAGAGTGAGGATGGAGGAAGCGAAGGGGGAAACGACAGGATCTCTATAATTAGAGGACGGTTGCTAGGAGAGGAAAAAGAGTGTCAGACGTTTAGGAAGCAGCCGACCGCCCACAAGTCTAGTGACACGATAAATTTTTGTTGTGTTTGTAAATGGTGTCGTGCTCAATCGAGGAGAACTTTGGCTCGGGTAGTACAAGTTGGTACAGTTTGGGAACAAGAAAAATCAATACAGCGCTTGACGGAGGAGCTTGGGAGCTCCTGTGGGGGCTTGGCCGCTTGTTACCTACCTAGGTAGGTACGGGTACTACCTTAGCTTAGGGACCTACGCCTACGCTAGGTACCCACTGATAGCTGGCCGAGGTGTGCAAGGTCACAAACGGCCAACAGGTTCACCTCCGTCAATGCGCCAAAGAAAAGCTGGGTGAATTCTGGAGATTCTCCTTGATCAGTGCTTTCAACAAGATAGTGGGAACCTCATGCTCAAGCACGGGAATTCGAGGGATCTGACAGTGCAGAATGCGAGAGGCGCCCTGTGCCTTGACGACGCTAAATGATGCTAACTTAGCCCCCTCCCCCTCTAAAGTTACCTGGCCGCCCGCCAGTTGCCAGCAACCTCTAATAATAGTCTAAAACCAGGGTAGCCTGAATCCCTGTTGCCGGGGCAGCAATGACCAGCATCAAGCACAACAACATTGTCCTAGAAGCGCCCGTCAATGGTTTCTTTCTTTTCTGTCTTGCATCAGAGACATTCTCCATCAATACCATCCCATTCATTTGTTCTTGATTTCCGCCGTCTCCTGCAACCACTTCATCAATCCCCAGGCAGCATTGCTCTATTCCCCCTCAATCACACAGTACCTGGAAGCTGTCACATCAGCTCTCGGCTCACTAATAAAAGACTATTGGCACTATCATCCATGTCCCCTGTAATCCCTAACGAGAGTTAGATTGCAAGCAGGGGAGCCTGGCACTGAAATGCGATTCGATTTGCCTCCGCGCCAAATGAGGATTCGCAACCAGCCCGGCTACTGTTGCGTAACGAATATTGCGATGCGCCAGCGCTCGTCCCAGTAATTTGCATGATCCTTGCGTATATCAAAAGTAAGCCTGAAGCTGGCTATTGCTTGCCGCTAGTCATGCGAGATCGTGCACGCACCAGCAAAACGCCATTCTGGCGCGACGCGCTGCTCGGTGTCCGGCCCGAACGTTCACAATAAACAGTAATTACGGAGTCGCTCCTGGTACATAGCCATCCATAGGACCATAGCAATCGACGGGTAATAACCGTACAGTATGATAATAAACTCAATAAACGAGCGACCGGGGAGGCGGGTCCGGGGTTGTAATGAATCGAAGAACAGCGAGCACGCTATTCCCAACCGACGTGCATCGTGGCAAGGTGATAGGAGTCTGTGTCAAAGCTCCGGCCTCTGATACGTCAGGCCCGGATACGAAATTAGAATTATATCGATTGAAGAAGAAGGAGAAGGGGAAAAAAAAAAAAAAAAAAAAAAAAGAAACAAGGGCCAACAGCCAGCGGTGCTTAACATGCGGTTTAGGCAACGCATGCATTTGTGTGGTCGAAGCAAAAAGTAAATGTTTGAAGCCTCATATCAGATTCGAACTGATGCTTTTGGAATGATTGGTTGTGGTCAAAATCCAACGTCGTAACCCCTAGACTAATGAGGCTGGATTATTTCATACCGCCTCCGCTCACTAATTTAGCTTATGAGCTCAACTTGACGCCAAGAGTGGGGCGCACCATTCGCTAAACTTGAGTCCCTAATAAAGTGAGACCTTGACGCTAGGGCTTGCTGAGCTCACTATCTTGACTTGGCCGTCGCAGTGTTCTTGGAAAGTCTGCGCGCAAATTATAAATGACCAAGATTTCGATATGGAGTCAAATAATTCCATGGCTTCTCTATCGATATATGGCACGTCTACTACCTCGCGTGTCCGTTGTTCAGCGCTTTCTGCGCGATCCGAGACGCGAGCTCCCCATCAAATTTCTCAAAATTCAGCCTATCGTAATACGTTGTGGATAAGTTGTCAATTTATTAGGCTAGCGAGATTCAAAATTTTGTGTTGATGTCCCAAGAGCTTGTCTGGGCTTTTTATAGGTACAAATTTGATTCTATCCGAACATTGGGCCTCCCAGACGGACAGTGACTGACTTTGTCTGTAGATAGTTATCGAGGGCCGCTTCACCCAATTCACGACCGATTCCAGACTCTTTGAAGCCTCCAAAGGGAACCGAGGCGTGCAAGAGGTTGTAGCAGTTGACCCAGACGGTACCAGCTTTGAGGGCGTTGCTGACACGAATGCTGGTGTTGAGATCCTTGGTGTGAACGGCAGCGGCGAGACCGTAGGTGGTCTCGTTGCCAAGCTTGATGACCTCCTCCTCGGTGGAGAACTTGGAGATGGAGCAGACGGGGCCGAAGATCTCCTCCTGCATAATCTTCATATCGGAGCGAACGTTGGAGAAGATGGTGGGCTTAATGAAGAAGCCCTTGTCGCCGTGACGCTCACCACCGATCTCGACAGTGGCACCCTCATCCTTGCCAGACTGGATGTAGCTCATGATGCGGTCGTACTGGAGCTTGCTGACCTGAGGACCCTGGAAAGTTTTGGTGTCAAAGGGGTCACCGACAGTGTTGGCGGCAGCGCGCTTTTTGAAAGCCTCGAGGAACTTGTCGTAAATGCCCTCCTGGACAAAGATGCGAGTACCAGCACAGCAGCACTGACCGTGGTTGTAGTAGATGCCGAAATTGACCCAGGAGATGGCAGACTCAATATCGGCATCATTGAAGACGATGTTGGGGGACTTGCCACCGAGCTCAAGAGTGACCTTCTTGAGGTTGGAGGAAGCAGCAGCTTTGAGGATGGTGCGGCCGATGAGGGTGGAACCGGTGAAAGCGATCTTGTCTACGTCCATGTGAGCGGAGAGGGCGGCACCGGCGGTCTTGCCGAAACCAGAGATCACGTTGAAAACACCAGGAGGGAAGCCAGCTTCCTTGACAAATTGGGCAAAGACGAGGGCAGAGAGGGGAGTCTGCTCAGCAGTCTTCATGACGATGGTGTTGCCAGTGGCCAGGGCAGGGCCAATCTTCCAGGAAAGCATGAGAAGAGGGAAGTTCCAGGGAATGATCTGACCGCAGACACCAATCTATATTCGTAGTTAGCATTTCGACCCGTACTTGTACTGAGGCTGATCATTGTACGTACAGGCTCCTTCGTGACGTAGTGGTGCATGTCGGGGGCGACGTCGACAGTTTTGCCGTGGATCTTGTCGGACCAGCCGGCATAGTAGCGGATGCAGGCGACGACTGCGCCAACATCGCCCTTGGCCATGGTGATGGACTTGCCATTGTCGAGAGACTCGACAGCGGCGAGGAGTTCGGTGTTCTTCTCGGCAATGTCGGCGAGTTTGTTCATCAACACGCCGCGTTCCGCCGGGGTCGTTTCCTTCCAAGTGGTTTCGAAGGCCTTGCGGGCGGCGGCGACGGCGAGGTCGACATCCTTCTCGGTAGCTTCGCAGACAGAGGTGATGACCTCCTCGGTAGAGGGGTTGATGACTTCAAACTTTTTCTTGTCGACACCCTCAACCCACTCGTTGTTGATAAACCTATAGGGGAGGTTTGTGTTAGTCAAGGAATCGCGGGGGCGGGGTAGTGTAAGCGGCGCATGGCCGGTCGGGCGTGCGGAGAAGACAACACGCAACGATAACTTACAGGCCAATTGGCTGGTCATATTTGCCCGTAGCGGGCGTAGATAGCTGCACTGTCAAAGTCATAATGACGGACTGTTTGTGTGTGAGAAAGTACGGCGGAGGGGTATCTGGGTAAAAGAGAATATGAGAGATGGACTAGTATTTCCTTTCTCAGACCAGCATAAGAGGATGAGGGAGGAGCGAACAAGATGGGAAGAATTGGGTGAGGAGCAGGTTAAATATGTGTCTGCGATTTGTCGCCTAGATGAAGAGAACATGACGATAAAGCGGGGTGAGGGTGGACATTTGCTGGCGCCGAGTAGCTTGGACAACCACGAACCAGGACGGCGGCGGGGGCAAGAGCTCGAAGCTGGGTCTACTAGCCAGGATTTAGATGGTGTGGATGGCGGGGAGCGGAGGGGTAGCGCGCTCGAAGGAGGGGCAACCAATCATGTCAATGCATGGTTCCGTGAATGCAGATAATCCCGAGCAATTGCTTGTAGCGATTTGCTGACAATTATCAGGCCCACTATCCATACAAGCGATGGTATCCGAAAGGGTGGCACTGGGCCCTGATCAGACGGACCATGTGGTGGTGGTGCGTTGTCAATTGCGTAGTTCAACATGAGCAGCTGGCTTTTGTTTTTAACCGTTGTCCTCTTATATTTTCGTTTTTGCAGTTCCCAAGTGCAGTTTTCCCCTATAATACCATATGTAGCTGCCTGGTTGATAGTTACCTGGTGAGTAGGTGATTGGCCCTCCAATGATACTTCGGGTCCGGGCCTACGGAGGCCGACGGCAGGTCGGCGCTGGGGTAAACGCTGACAGAAACCTGTAAGGTACCATAGGTAGGTACCTAGGTACCTAGGTAGCACCAGTAGAGCTGCCGGTAATCCCCCGCATTGCATCACTGCGACACGGCACGCATAGCAAAGGTTCGAGAACCTTGCCGGCTGGCCGAGATGGATTGTTGCTCTAATGCATGTCTCGGCTCCTAGAGCCGGGGGTTTTTTTTGCCTCTTTTCTTTTACCTGAAATTGTAGTTGCCTTTCTCTGAACATTTCCCAGCCTCCGATATAAGTCTGCTCTTATTAATTTACATTACAGCCACTGCGTCCATGCACTGACAGGCGCTGTGCAGCACACCAGCTATCCTTCATTACTCCGTACGGCCCCCTACAACTTTACTCCGGGCCCCTCTGAACAACAATCATTATTTGGCTAGGTAGGTAGTCCCCAGCTTGTGTTATTCCAGGCAGCCGGTGCTGGGCCGCACCCTTACAATTGAGAGCTACCCCGCTGCAGTGCCCGCCAAAAAAACTTTAGGCCCCTCCCTCTCGCCGGACGCCCTCCATGTTTCCGCAAGGGTAGTCAATCAGGGTGAAGAGAAATGGGCGCCGGTAATTGGATGGGCGTGTGGCGGCTCTAATCATGTCGTTTATCCCGAATTACCTTGATAGTACGTGGCGAAGGCTAGAGCTTTGCCTCGATCTCTGTCCATTCACTCACATTATTCGATTACGTTTCTTCTGATATATCGAGCGCAAACGGATACCCGTCCCGCGGGAGTCCATCAAGGGCCTTTTTGGTGAGCAAGCTGCCATGCTGCAAACACCGCTCATCAGTTTCCGACTCGTTGATCATCTAGTCGTTCGTGTGACGGTTCCAACAACGCCGGCACCATGTCACGCTTTCAATGTCCGCAAAATGACAGGGAATGTCCTTTCTAATATCGCTGAGATCGCCTCATTGGCCAGACTTCTTTCCGATGCTCGATGAGTCGTCTTTAAAACTCTTTCCCCTCACATGCACTGCCTTAACGCCGACATGGTTCGCTCGCTGCTGGCTCTTGCCGCCATCGGACTTTAGAACCCATTACGCGGTGCCCGGCTCTCTTGGAGACTTCATCACCTCATCAACCGAGAGCCAAGACTGCATTACAAAAGCCACCCGCTGCATCTCGCAACGGAAATTGGGCGGCAAACAAGACCAAGAACACGTCGTCAATCTTTCCCTATACCTCCCTTGCCCACTTCCCCGCGTCTTCTCGCCTATAACTATTCGTCAAGTCACTTTTCGTCTCAACCTTTAACCTTATTCCACTCAAAAGCTTGCTTGCCGCCAACCTTTGCAGCTCCAAGTAACTATAATTTCACTCGCCACGATGCGACTAGTGCGGCAGACGGCGTTGGCATGGGCAAATCCTGTTTCCTGACCAAGCCGCTAACTAGTTGCCGCACAACAACATCGACAATCGATGCTTCCTTGCGACCAGTCCCCTGTTCTATGCATTGTGTAGAACTCACACACATGCTTCCTTCTCTGTCTCAGGCCCAAAAATATGAGAAGTCCCATCCGACAGATGGCAATAGTCTCGATTCAGCCCCACGCACGCACAGATTTTTCCTGTCTTCAAACCCGCAAGTCTTGAGTTGTTGCATTTTTGTTGCATTTACTGATTACCCAACTTGTTACAGTAGGCATATCACCACGCGACTCGCACTTGTCCGCCAGACCCCTATTTTTCGGTCCGGTCAGCCTTGCATGCTAACACGGCGATCGCCATGATTCCGATTCCCCTATCTCTTTTCCTCGTCCTCTCCAGTTCAACTTATCACCCTATCAGATTACTAGTCGCTTGTAGCCCAAGAGCACACGACTTGCAGCTGCAGCGTTGCCACACTTCCGCAGCCGGGCCGCATCTTGTCGTATCTGTCAACCTCTCTGCACGTTGACCTAGAGGGGGGCTCCAAATAATTTCCTGCATGCATCGCTAGCCCATGACCTTTTAGACCCGTGCATGTGTCCGATTTCTGCCTGCTGTGATTTTCCCATCTCCTTTCTGTGGCTAATACGGCTTGCTAGTTATCACCTAGCAAGTTACCTAACTAGCATGGAGCAGACCGCGTCCCCACGCGCTCTCGTCGAGTGGTTGCAGTGTAGACAGCAGCATGTGCATGCCACTATTGCTTATTCGGATGCAGACTTAATACGACTGATGACGATTTGAGTTTCCTAGTCTTGACAGTTTGCTGCCATGACATGCCCAATAAGACCGTTCATTTTTATGGCGTGTTGTCCCGAAATCAATATGCGCCAAATTCCACACCAGAGGTTTTCACATCGAAAGTCGTGGAGTCGGAGGCAGTTAGCATGCCAAATATTACTCTTATATGAGCCTCACCAAGCACACATACCCGCGAATTCGCACGCATACATTTCCCATTGCCAGTCCAGCCGTGTCAACACTTCATCTTCGATGGCTCGGTTCCAGGGTAGCACTACTTAGGCACGATTGCTTTGGCTGACTGGTGGGGGGTGCTCCGCCATAACTGGCCAGCTACGTCAGCCGTCCCCTTTGAGATCTATCGCGCTTCACATCGAACCCACGCTGCCTGGCCCTGTCTACGTTGCGAATCGCCGCTTCAGCGATGCCGTATCATATCTTTTCGTCGTCACGTCTCTAACTACCATCCCCTTTCTCCAGGGTAACCCCGTATTCGTCATCCCCTTCACACAACGACGAGGCTCGCCAATCATGGCTCCCGACAGTCATATCCGTGTCTTTGTCCACTGGCGAGACCAAACTGTCTTTGCTGGCGAGGACATCAAGTGCACCATAACGTTCAAGAATGTCGCGCGGGAATCGGACAATGTCAGGGCAAACCAGCATCCACATGCCCCCCCTCAGAGAAGAAACAATTCGGACCGTCAGCGGCTGCTCTCTAGTCTGGCGTCACCCCTCGGAGGGAACCGCAGCAGCAGAGGCAGCAACACCATCGCATCCCCGCCCCCTGCTAGCAACGGGCGAGGCCACAGAAGATCGGCTTTATCTCTAAGCATACCGTCAACGACGACTAGTCCTCGATCGGCGGCCGTGCAGTGGCCTTCTGGTGGCGGCTCCTTTACCGAATCCCGACCCGGACACGCCCATAAACGATCCTTATCCATAGTGTCAATTGGTTCAGCGAGCACCATGGATGACCATACTCAACGAAGCGAGACTTCAGGGCGGCCGAGTATGCCGCATCGAGGCCACAGTCGTGCCTCGAGCCTGCAAATAATGTCTAAAGGAAATACGGCCGCTGGACTACAACTTAGTGAGTTTGCCTGTACTCTGCATCTTGCTGCATGCTAATAGCGAAGATCACCCAGCGTCCCGAAACATGACATCACCCCTACATACTGCATCATACCCTTCCGACAGATACGGTCAGCAGAATCGCTCCTTCACAGCGCCTTCGACTCCCGGCATTGGACGACGACGATCGCCTAGAACGTCACCGAACCTGATGCCCGACTTTCACTTCCCAGCCGGATCTCCAGCAGAACATCCCGAAGAAGAGGAGGCTGCCACTGACAACAGCCACCTGGCCCTGCGACCAAAAGAGTCTGACAAGCCTCTCACCCCCGCTGCTCGTATTCTATCGAGTAACAGCATGGCCAGCGCAACGCCACGCAGCAGCGGCGAATTTTATGCCGCGAGCAACCATTCTTCCGAAACACTGGCCTCTGAGTACCCCGCAGCCAGGGGCGCTGCGCGACTATCACAACTGCGAGGGACCTCGGGCTTACCTCCCTCGTCAAATAAGATTCCGGAGTCCATAATGATGGGCTACGCCCAAGTACAAGGTTCATTTTCGCTGGACGGCTCTCTGATTAGCCTCGGTCAGTTCGACGAAGTCAAGAAAAAGGGCGTTGTCGGTGGCCGAGGGAGCGGTGTCGTTGGCCTCGACCAAAATAGGAGAGACAGCGGTCTGTTGCGCAGTTTTGGCTGGGGAGCCATTAGCAGCTCGCTCGGCGACCTTTTGGGCAGCAACGAGCTAAGCACAATGAAGGAGATGCGAGGCGCGGCCAACTCGAAAGCAGTCCCTCTACTGAGCACTCCCCAGTCAATATTGTTTGTCAATATGCAGCTTGCGCCGGGCGAGAGCCGCTCTTTTGAATATACTCTTCGCCTTCCCCGAGGTCTGCCGCCGTCGCACAAGGGCAAGGCTCTCAAGATTTCGTACAGTCTGGTTATTGGAACACAAAGAGCTGGGGGAACGCGAGAGCAGCAGGTCCGTTCCGTCGAGATTCCCTTTAGGGTGCTCGGCAGTGTCAATAGCTATGGCGAGATTCTTGGGCACGATCTGATGAGTCCATATATTTTATTGAAAGACGAAGCGCTGGTCAAGGCTATCGGAAAGCGCAAGCATGCTAGCAAAGGCCGCATACATGTTGAAAGGAAAGGGAACATTAATGATTTTCTGGCATATGTCGATGAGCTTGTTGCTCAGCAAAAGGACGACAAGTCGAATTCTTTGCTCTCGCCGACAGACGGCCTCGAGTCACGGCGCCCATCAATGTTTGATGACGTGGCCTCGACAAAAGAGGCCATTCACCTTGCCATCATGAGGAGTAACTTGGCCAACGAAGGACAGAGCCAGAACCGGTTCGAAATTGCGAGAAACGGCAAGAGGGTCGGCGCAGTCATGCTGCCTCGACCCGCTTATAGGCTCGGCGAGGTCGTGACCATGGTCGTTGACTTTACAAAGGCCGAGGTACCCTGCTACGCCGTCCACGCCACGCTAGAGACGTCAGAAAAGATTGACCCCTCTCTGGCCGTGCGCTCCGACTCCAGCATCCAACGAGTCACGCGCAAGGTCTATGAGGCTTCCTCCGAGACGACCATGTATTCGCGCCGCATCGTGTTTACGCCTACGATACCCATATCCGCCACACCCGAGTTCGTCACCAGCGGCGTCAGCTTTGAGTGGAAGATTCGGGTCGAGTTTGTGGTGCCCGCCAAGAGCGGCGAGGAGAGCGAGAGCGCGCCACCGTCTGCTGCGTTTGGCTCCACCCTGCTGGAGCAGATATCGCAAGATGACAAGGGCGGCCTCGTCCTGGTGGCGGTGGAAAATTTGGCCTGTGAGAGCTTTGATGTGTCGGTCCCGCTCAAGGTGTATGGTGCGGTCGGCACAGGGTTGGAGAGGCTAGAGCGCGACGAGTCTCTGGAGGGAGGACTCTCTGTATAATGTGCGTGGGTGTATCTGTTGCCTTATACCCTCGCCTTGGTTGAGGTCATTGGATATTAAACATGATTGGGCTGAAAAAGAGTTGCTTGATTTGTTATCCCTAGCGAGCGATTCTAGGTAACTCAGCTACCCATATCAGGAACCGGCCACCCCAGCTAGGAACTAGGCTTATCAGCACCTATAGGAATTATAATACTATTCACTAATAAACCTACTATAAATATATATATATAAACAAACAAAAACTACCTCTAATATATTTTTTATAAAAAATCTAAATATTAGACCTATAAGTAGCTAGTTCTAACTAAATATAATAGTAGTATTACGTCTATACTAGTATATCTATTACTGAAACTAGTAATATATATATACTTGATATCTAATTAATGAATCAAGTTTATAAATTTATTGTCTTTAGCAGACTCTTTGAGAAGTGTTGCCAGATCCTACATCTGCATTAAGGTTTATATATATGCCAGTGTTGGAGAAGTGCTAAACACCATAAACTTTGGGCGGAAATCATCGATAGGTAACAAGTAGCACCTTCATGGCCGAGTAGGTCACTTACCCCTACATTCGTTACGTTGCAGGGTGAAACGACTCGTTAGGATGTACCATGAGGAGCTGAATATCTCTATAAATCTTTGAATTCATAATTTAGGCGGATACAAACCAACTAAATGCTTTCCACCCCTGGAGAAATAGGCTGGATGGCTCAATCCCACCAATTGCTCAACCCCCGCTTCTGCTAGAGACATCCCGTACTAATCGCAATCCGCAAACAGATCAGTCTGTCCTGTGAAGGGAACGTTTGTCACATCCTCCAGACTGCTATTCAGCACATTGTCGTCAACAGTCTGGAAGCCGTCCGGGAATCGTCCGCGGCCCCTCGCGCTGGTCGCGGGCGTGAACGATTGGTCAATCACCGTTGCCTACGGCTGCGCAAGAGCGCTGAAAGCTTCGCTAGGTGCTGCTTTCTACTGTGCGTACGTCCGCGTGGCTGAGAATTCTCTCTACAAAGGTGGGTACCAGTGTAGATGTAAGAGGAAGGTTGCTTGTGAGCTACGTAGCCGTGTAAGAACACTACAGGGTATGCGCCGTTTGACCGCAATCATCGTACATATGCGTCAACCTCCGGAGGGAATCAAGATAAAAATGGGGGACCAACAACTGCGAAAACGGCAAGTCCTCACCCAGTCACGTAACTGGAGTCGATGCTACCGTAATAATAACATGATTTTCCGTGAATCTGCGCGAGCTCTTGTCTGCACTTCTGAGACTCAAGTGTTTGAGTGTAGAGCAAATCACTGAAAGGCTGACCTAAACTCATGAGCCACAAGTGAGAACATAGTGGCTATGTTGTCTCACTCATATCGCCTGTATGCCTTAGGCTAAACTGAGACAAGAAGCAATCTTATTACATATCATATTAAGCAAGCCATGCATCATCACACAACTAGTGGTAATCTGTCCTGCATGTCCTATGTAGCGAGCCATGCGTCATAAAGTTGTTAATATAATTTGACTATTATTAGGCGCACGAAAGTATATAACCACTTTGAAGAGCCCGGTAGTACATTACAGGCTCGGGCTCTTAAACATTCCTGGTACAGTATCATGCATGCAGATACGAGGCGACGCTGCCAAAAGACAGCCTATACTAGGCAGTAGCATACCGGTAGAGGATTCTGCATAGGCTGCCGAGCGACTTGAAAACAGCAAGTTTTGGGCAACCAAGGAGTTGGGGGCGGGGGGCTTCACGGGTATCTCGAAGAAACGAGCCTACCAGCCAAATCTGTGCTTGCAAGACGTATGTAGATCCCCACCAGTCGCTCGTTGTGGCGCAATGTACATCGAGCAGAGTACCTAAGAAGGGGCAGCTCCAAGGGACAGTGGCATTTTCGGGACTGGGGTCCAAGAGTACTAGGTATTCAAGTATTTCCAAAATTTCACTGATCCGAAAATAACCTCCCACCAAAATTGCGGGAGGGATACCAGGTAGCTTCGGCGGCAGGGACCCCTGTCAACACTAAATTCAACGGTTTATATCCTTGCCGCCTGGCCCGAAGCTTCTCAGAGTAACTAGAGCTATGCATTGCTGCTACAACATGACCTAAGCCCACGTTGCATTGTATGAAAGTCAGAATTTTGAAACTAGTATGCATGGTACCCTACTCAAGGCCCTCGCGTCGTTTAAAGGCTCGCCCAATTTGCGAGGCTTGGCCGGGGTTGATCTGCTTGTATGGCAAACTTGACAGTCATGTTCGCATGCTGAGCCTTTAACTGCACTCCGGTAGTTATATTGCCAGTGTGTAGACCTTCTTTGGGCCGGACTACTATGCAGCCAAGCCCCGAGCTGAAGGTTCTTTTGTTAGGTTTTACACCTAGGCAGTTCACTCTCCATATGCCCAGGTAGAAACAAGGATCAGAAGGCAAATACCTTTGCGTTCTACCTTTAACCCCAATCTTGAACAAGGCTTAGTTGATAGCATCAAGAAAGATACCTAAATATGGGGTAAGACTTTCGTCTGATATCCAGTATGCGGTCTCGACGCAGCTAGTCACCACGACAAGCATTGATTGAACAGCTTTCTTCTTTCTTTCAGGTACCATCACACAGGCCTATGAATGCGCGACTATGTTCCTCTGAGATGCAGACATAAACGGTCGGGCGTCTCCCTTGTAGATGAAGTTCTTTCACTCTCGTGCCAAGATCAATGTGATAAATCAATGCATTGAATCAGGGAGTCAGATGTGGGAGTTTGACACATTATCTTCCACAGCTGACGATAGAGTAGGTATTGATATCGGCAATGTAACTAATAACGGCAGTTGTCCAGAATACCAAATGTATGTCGCAATTTTTTCTGCCATCGTCTTAGCTCTTCCTTCATCCTTGTCCGTGTTCCCGTTTTGTCTCGGATAGCGGAAGCGACTACAAAGCAGTGTGGTGAGGAAGTTGGGAGGCAAGAAGGTACTTGGCCAGTTGCCTTTCATACGGACGCTTCGTTACGCAATTACCAAAGATGATGTGACTCGATCGGTTGTTTTTGTTCTTATTTATTAAACTCACTAGAGAGATTCTTGTTAGGGCCGGTAGAGCTACCAGTAGTCTACTATGATACCACTGTCCGCAGACCTGACGGTTTGGATAGACTGAAGAAAACTCGAAATGGCTTTACAGGTGACCGCACAAGGTCACAGGGTAGGGCCAGAGCTTTTACTATCTTACTTGAACTTCTCTCCAGGGCTAGTTGTTAAGAGCCAGCCGCCAAGTTGACTAGAATGACGGGGCTATAAAGCCGGGGGCGTCGGGAAGGATCTGTGGCTGAAGGTCTTCAGGCAGCCGTCGGGCAGCCGTCGGGCAGCCGTCGGGCTGTGTGACTTGTCAAATGCGGCGCCTACATGATTCAGTGTGGCTTAACAACGGCAGATGGTGTGCCAGATCTGGAGCAGGCGCCGAACCAGGCTCCGATGGGTATATTACCTGATATACGCTTGGGATGTATGGCCTTAGATGGAGTTGTAACGACATTCCTCAATCACACATTCCTTCGGCCAAGGACAAGATCGATACAATGAAGCCTTCTGGGGATCCTCCTGCTTCGCACACCCGCGCCAGCGTGGTAGGTACAAAAGGCTCGAAGGATGACATCAGCAAACTCGCAGACGACCTTCTCCGTCAATCGCTCACGCGAAAGCCAGACACGTCTACACAAGTAGGAGGAGGGTTAGCTTCCAAGGCATATTCTGCATCACCAGATAGCATCACTCGTACCCCACACTCCACGACGGCAAGTTCTTCCAAGCATGACAACCTCTCGAAAGATAGCATTCGCAAAGTTGCAGACGACCTTCTCCGCGAATCTCTCACCCGTAAGCCAAACGCCTCTGAATCGATGTCCAAGGTGCCGCCTGCGCCAATATCCTTAGTAAGCATCACTCGAACAAAAGAATCAAATGCGGCAGGTGCTTCAAACGCCGACAAGCTTCTTCGAGCATCACTTGTCCGGGAAATTGCCTCTACTTCACGGAGCGTGCCACCCCCGTATAGCAGCGCTTATAACTCGTCGGCCAAGATACCAGCTCCATCGACCCTCGCCAGCACTCCAAGCAAGATCAGGGACCGAGGCGCTATCTGTGCTGCCGAGGCCGACAGCAAACTCAGGGAAATAAAGTCGAAAGTTGCCCATGCCAACGCTGCATTACCATCTCGTAGGAAGCCTTACTTGTTCAAGGAATCCTGCTCGACTGATCTGCTGTTTCTGATTGACACAACCTATTCCATGAGTAATTACATTGAAGCGGCAAAGGATCAGATTCGACTCATTGTCAAAGCGGTCAAGGATGCGTTTCTTCACGAGTCGGAGGTGCGAATTGCGGTAGTTGGATACAAGGACCATAATGATTACCCGAATATTGAGTTTCTCGACTTTACCTCGTCTGTGACCGAGGTGCACAACTTTTTATCTACTCTGAGCGCATCTGGTGGAGATGATGAGCCAGAGGATGTGCTTGGTGGGATAAAAATGGCCATCAATGCATCTTGGAAGCAAGCGACTCGCTGTCTTGTGCACATTGGCGACGCTCCTCCCCACGGCCACACTTTGCACGATTATGACGAGAACGAAGACTACTATTATCAAACCGCCAGCGAGCCGCACGGTCTGACCTATGAGAATTTGCTCGAGCGACTGGTCAAACTCCAGGTCAATTACGCTTTCCTGCGCATCAACTCAACAACCGACCGCATGTCTCTCAAATTCAGTCAAGTCTACACCAAAGTGTCCCCGAGTGCAGGCGTTAAGCTTCACAACAGCAATGCCTATCATACCGCCATCGCCGACTCGCTCATCTTGGCCAGGTTACGAGCAAAGAAGATATCTGCAGACACCGGACCACTTTTCGAGGAGATGCAGCTGGGCACTACGTATGAAGCCATTCGCCATCTCGTTGTTAGCACAGTGACCAGCTCCATTTCTCGCACAGCAAATCGTCTGTCGTTGGCCATCAGCCACAGCAGAGGTAGAAGCAGCCGCGCCTCCGGTGGTGCTCGTGGCCCCAAAGGCCTAAATCTCAGCGCAATTGCTGAAGACCAGAGTGCCACTGTTTCCGGCCCCAGAATGAGTACTGTTCTCGAAAAAGCTCCCCCACGGTGGAACACCCCCGGTTGGTTGGATCAAACCATCTCCGCCGAGGGCTTTTGTCTGGACCTCCAAGTCCACAATGCTGATACGTTGAACGCGATGATGGACAAAGATGACAACATTAAAATTGGGTTAGTGAAGCTGAGCATCGCCGCACGCTCCAAGCCATTCGATGAAGGAGCCGTTCGTATAGCGAGGTATGCCCAGCCTGTTTCCACGACCAGCAAATTTGTCCTCAAATCGTTCAAATCATCCGAAGGTTCCCTCGTTTCTATGATCGAGGACATGTGGATGCAAGCTCTCTGCAAATCGTTTGCGCTCGAGTTCAATGGTCTTGTCAAGTCCTCTCAGCCGATTGATTTCGTCACAACCCTCTGCTTGCAAGACAAAACTCGCGCTTCAGAGGAAAACCTATCTCTAGAGCCATTCATCGAGGGCGAGTACATCAAGTACAACAACAACAGCGGTTACGTGCTAGATGATGATAACAATCCGTTAAACGAGATTGCCCAAGCGTTTTCGCATTTCACCTTTGAGCGGTCATGGGGCAATTTCCTCGTCACAGACCTCCAGGGCTCAGGCAACATCTTTACCGACCCGGCTATCCAAACTCTCGATCCAGAACGCTTCAAACTGAGCCCGACAAATATCGGGGAAGACGGCTTCAAGTTCTTCTTCGCCATGCACGTCTGCAAAGAAACTTGTCACAAACTCGGCCTCCTTAGCAACAAGGAAATGATAATGTCGCGGAAACTTTCCTTTCGAGAGACATGGCCGGTGATGGACCCGACCGTTTGCTGCTCGAACAAGCTCTGCCGCAAAATCATTCGTCTTGCTACAGCAAAAACGTCTCCCGACCATCCTGGCCGCAATTGGTGCGATGGTTGTTTTCCACAGCTCAAGGCGCATAGAAAACATGTCACATGCGCGGCGCCAGGGCCAAAGCACCAATTCGAGGTTTCCATGTTTTATTGCGAGAGTCAGGGAGAGCAGTGCCCGACTGTTTGTGAAGAGCATCTGGAAAAGGACACAACGGTGACACCTACTGTTGGGAGTGGACTGTGGGATACGGCCAAACGTAGCGATACCAAGGAAATTTCGGGACGGGTTTGGTGAGCCCGCACATGATCTATTCGCGGAGCTGGAACTCATTTTTTTGGGCAAAGTTTGATGGTTATCGCCCAACAGCTTCCATAATGTCAATACATTCAAGAATGAGCCTACCGCCTGATATGTGGCAGTCTCCAGGAGTAGCATCTTTGGCAGGACTCTTACCACCGCCGACCTCGGTGAAGCTGTTGCACCCCGCTTTGCCCAACAGTTTGCCCGATGTCCAATATATTTCAGGTCGAAAAGAGACACGTAACTTTTTCTACTAGATTGAGACATGCATGCTGTTACTACTGGTAGTAGTAGTAGTTCTTCCTTCCGGCGGGCTGCCGCATACATTGACCTGAGCAGCGCGTACGATGAGCTGAAAGGCTAAAGCAGTGCTCCGTATCTAAAAGTGATAATAAATATTGACTTGGCACGGCTCAAAGAGTCAAACGATGCCGGCTTTGATCTTTCTAGGGGTCAACTGTGCGGCTGAGCGGTGGCACGCTGCCTGCATATACGCTGTGAAGTTGTGGCCCAACGCCTTCTTCTCCCTTTTCTTGCGTTTTCAGCGCTGCTTGTAGCATGATTGATTGATGGCACTTTGACTAACCGCAAATCTTTCATGGTAGTCGATCGCGGCTGGATCTGTTAATTCTATGTCCCCGAAACCCAGAGGCTTGGTAAGCACTTTACTTTACGGAGGCTAACTACAATATCATTATGCCATGTTAATTATGATTAGAGCAGTGGAAAGATGAAGAGCAACGACATCTCCCTGGAGAGCACGATTGTCGGGTCCGTCTCTACTCCCGAGGTCAGTCTCAGCGACACCAAATTCAATACCCTCCTCCGCCACGCCGGCCTCTCGCCCCCCGAGCCGCTTGTGCAGCTTGCAAGACCGGATGACTTTGAATTTGAAGCTCTTGTCACGGACAACAACCGTGCCTATGCGAGGGCACTTCTCGTACGGGCACGATCGAACGACCCAGAGTACCGTCCTCCCGACCAACAAAAACGCCATCTTCTGCGCATGCCCACCCGGAAAAGCCTAAAAATGGATGGCGAAACATGGACTTTTACAAAACACGAGGTTGGAAAAGCTTTCAATAGTCTATTTGAATTTGATACGCTCCCTGATATCGGCGTCGCACAAGCGCTCTTGTCTTTCGTGGAAGATTTGCACTCGCTGGATGAGCTGTGGGAGCATTTTCAAGACAGCAAGCTTCAGAAGCGACAGTCCAGCATATTCCGCCGATCTGCCTCGACATCCCGTACCACAGCAAGCTGGCTAGAGACCGCCACCGAGCAAGGAAACACGCACTACATACGCTTGATTTGCCAAATTGGTGTTAGACAGGTGTTGCTAGATCACGCCTTCATCGTGGCACTTAAAAGGCAGGACATGGCCTCTATTCACATGCTGGCCGAATTTGGTGCTTCTATTAGCTCTATCAACAGAGAAGTTGTTCAGGGATACGTGAAGCGAGGTAATGTTGACGTCGTGAGGCTACTCCTCGCCGCACCGAATGAGTTGAGCACCGAGGACTGGCAACACTGCTTCCAAAAGGAGATTACTGCCAGTGCTCAGGGTCTGGATGTAGTGAGGGCTCTTGTGCAATGCTTACATTACGAATCGTCAATTGCGAGTGGAAAGCTCCTGCTGAAGGCGCTCGAGGCCCAGAACACTGCCGCGGTTGCAGTGCTTCTCGCCTACCGAGCGATCTGCAAGGCAGGAGCCGACACCGACGCTGCATGGTCCTGGAGCCCCACGGGCAATCATGAAGAGCACGAAACTATAGCCATTCAAGCATGTCTTTGTGTTTCTGAGATTGCCGAGCCTGGGACACGGTACACTTTCTACTCTCTACTGAATGTGGTCGGTTTACTTAGAGCCTGTCCGGCTTTAGAGCTTGAAATGGACCTCAGTGTTCGAAACAGACGACTGCCTATGATTAGACTTCTCATCAATGCCGGTATGTGGCCGCCCATTCAAGGAGCGGTGGCAACGATGGACTTTGCGCTTCTGGAAATAATGGTTCATACCCGTATCACACCAGAAGAGGCATCTAAGCTAGTGTCCTTTGTCCCCGAGCCCATAACGGAGGACGACATGGTCCGCTTCCTCAACATATTCTCTCGCGCATCAAAGAGTCTACAGGGTCCGTTACTGGACCAGTGGCTGGTCAGAGCGGTCAAGAATAAACGTCGACGGCTTGTCCATGCGCTTCTACAAGTGGGCGCAACTGTCACCTTCGAGTCGGCCGCTGCAATCAGAGCCGCGCTCGGCGCCATGGACACTGAAATACTGCAGATCTTGTTGCGGGAGAAAATCTCCAGCAAGGAGCTTTCACCGGCACTGCCTGTCGCCATGAATATTACCGACGGCGCCTTTCGAAGGCAAGTAGTCTGGGCTCTAGCCGACAAGGGCGTCCAAAAAGAGGCCCTTATTAATGCGCTTTCCCGCGTAGTCCAGTCCCCGAGCCCCGATCTCGAACTCATCAGACTCATTCTCAAGTACAAGATTCTCACTAAACACAGCAGCCAAGGTCTTGACGTTTTCCGCATCGCCATCAAGCAAGGCAATCTAGCCGTCATCAGGCTTCTCTGCGAGGGACGCCCAGATGCCGTCCTTCTGGCCGAGGCTGTTACAGAAGCCTTTTCCCAGCTTTCACAGCACGGCCATGATGTAACATTCACCATTGTTGACATGCTACTACAAAATGGAGCGCGAGGGCCACCGTTAGACGCAGCTCTCATTCTGGTCGCCGGCTCCGACAGACCTCGCGCTCAAGATACCGCCCGTCTGCTCATCGGTCGTGGCGCTGGTGCCAACCATCTACAAGGCAGCGCTTACATGGCAGCTTGTACCAGCTCAAACTATCCCATGCTTGCTATTCTCTGCAAAGGGTGTCCGATGCAGCCAGCTAGCTTGCGGAGACTTCTCGGCATCCTTCTCAAAGCTGCCAATCTTGAGGCCGAAGCCCTCGAGATGGTCCTCAAGTCAGCAGTTGCGTCGAGTGCGGCCACAATCAACACGGCATGCACACCGAAGCTGCTCAGCGGCAGCCGCCACCTAGCTTCAATCATTCCACGCCTCCTGCATCACGGCCTTGATATCAATCTTGCCGATGGAGAAATTCTGCGGATGGTTGTACAAGAAAACAGTATTTCTCTCCTAGAGAGAGCTCTGACCTCTCCCGGGTTAACTACCGGCTCCCTGAAGAAAGCTTTCAAGGCTACGCAGGAGATAAAACCCCGGGACAATCAGCTGAAGATGATGGCTTTACTCTTACACAAAGCAAAATTCTCAGAGATTGGTCAGTCTGATAGACTTTCTGAAGAGACCATGGAGGCTCTTTCGTCGGATGGTGACCGAATAGGTCTACATCTTCTATTACGGGAGAAGGCCTCGGTCAATGCCGATGGAGGTAAGGCTCTACGCATCGCTGCTGCAATGTCAGTCAGCTCCACCGCAGTTCTCGAGAGCCTTTTACGCCAATCCCCCAGTGGCTCAACCATAGGCTCATCTTGTCGTGCCGCGTTAGCATCACCAAAGTTGGATCAGCGACAAACAGAGGCTGTACTCAAGCTCCTCCTTGCCTCCAAAACCAGTCTCACAGAAGCTGAAATGGCAGATTTACTTGAAGACAGCATAAAACGGCTCGGCGATTCGACTTTCCTCCCGAGCATACTAATCAAACGTCATGCTAAAGTCAGCTCCCGACACCTTCAAGCCGCGCTCGCTAGGAGCAGCAAAGAGCTATTTGAATTGTTGGTCCGCAACTTTGGCCCCGACAAGGACAAAAAATTTTCGTTCTTCTCTCACGTCGTGAGCAAGGCACCTATCAAGTCCGATCGGAGGCTTTGGATTTACGATACCATGCTCAGTAATTGGAAAATTCCACAAGCCTGCGTCTCTGAGGCCCTAGTCAGCGCGTTAGAAAGCGTAAGCCTTGCCGACGTTGCTTTGCCAAAACTCCTACTTCAACACGGCGCCGAGGTAACGTTCAAGAATCTCTTACCGCTAAAGCTCTCGTTCAAACTGAGAGATGGCACGGAGATTTCTGAGCTGCTGATCAAGCACATCAAGGATGGTGATGCGGCTGTGGCTGTGTTTCAATTTGCTCGTGCTTCTTCGGCATTGAATCCCGCGTCCAAGTTGCGTATTTACGGCCAACTACTCAAGAAGCACAAGATGAGCAAAGGGTTGGCTAGTGAACTACTCATTGACACTCTCAAAGATGGGCAGGACGTTGCGTCGATTCGATTTCTGCTTGCGCAGGGCGCTAAACCCGCTCAAGACGGCGCAAAATGCTTCCTTTTAGCGTACCGCGCCGGGAATGGCACGGCTTTCAAGGCAATGTGCCCTTATGCAGAGTTTGACACCATCAGTCGTGCTCTGTTGGAGCATTCATCTCAAGAGAAGCACGTCATCACTTGGCTGGGCTTGTGCGTGGGCACACTCGCACCTCCAGCAGCACGCATCAAAGATCCAAAGCTGCTGTACGAGGCGATGCGCAAATTTCCGGATGGAGGCGCACTAGTGGGAAGATTCCTGGAATACGGAGCATCTGCAGGGACGTTGGCGAAATGGTCGCTGTGCAAGGAATGGGAAGTTGAGCAGGTCACACCTCTTCTGTGGGCGTTGTTCCAACCTGAAAAGGTATCAAATCACACATTGCTAGCTCTGATTGCTCGAGGGAAAGAAGGTAAGCTTCTTTATGCTGTCATCGTAGTGCAGCGGGACACTGACAACTTCTCAGCGCACCCTCTATACCTCACGCCCAAGTCGCAAGTCTCAGCAGCATTTGCTTGCATGCTCGACCCTGCTCGAACTCCTATCCTCAAAGCCCTCCTCAAGCAGCACAGGGAACCAATCACGGCTTCCATCATCCCAGGTCGTTCGTTTTCATACCTTGGCCAGAGACCAAGTAGGCCAACGTACGAAGAGATGGTCAAGGAAGACCTCCCTCTCAGCACCGCGGCGTTGTACCTTGGCAATTTGAAGGCCTACCGCGCACTGAGAGGCGGCGAGAATGCAGACGATGGGTCGCTACACACCGCTGCTATGCTCGCGCTACCAGATTTCGTCGAGTGGCTTCTCGAGCGCCATAGCGCCGACCTCTCCTTGGAGAAGTTTGGGATGATGATCCCTCTTGCGATTGCTTGTCACTCCCAGGACCGCCCATGGTGCAAAGTCGCCAAAACCAACGGGTCCTTTGAGAACCGGCAAAAGCAAACGATGAGGTTGCTGGCGAGTCGCACTGATCTCTCCTGGCGCCACCGACGAAAGACGGTACTCCATTTTGCCATTGACAACGGACCTGGCGTGGTAAAGGCCATGCTCCAAGTTCTCAATGTGGCCCAAGATCCGGAACGGAACAATCGGTATCAGTACATCGACCGAGAAGGCATTGCGTACTCATTAACCATGTACATCAGCCACCTCTTGGATCCAGAGACTAAGAAGAGCGAGTCGAAAGAGATGATAGAAATATTGAAGAACGAGGGTAAGTTGGAAGATCGAATGTACAGATCAAGGAGGCGGGAATGCGTGTGAGCAGCCAGAGGGGTACTGTGGGATGCCACGGAAACGAGCGGCGAAGTAGTCGGACTATCGCGACCTTTTAGAGGATAGCATATTCTCGATTCACATAGTACGCTAAATAGCTTGAAAGAATGGAATCACCAGTGGTCGTGGTCGTTGGGTTGCTGACTGTCTTGGGCTTGAAGCTGGTATAATTAGCTGTCAATTGATGCAATCTCTTGCACACATTGATATGTATACCTTGAAAAGTACAATCTGAACGCTGAACAAGCAATGCCCTACCACCTCCTCAGAAACTCACAAAACACCCGTGGATACCCATTGGCGCAACCATGCAAAAAAAAAAGAAAAAAAACACATCCCGCAATCACCACCACGACTTCAGCTTCGATAGCGAAAACCTTGGCGCCGCATCTCTCTCGACCGCCTCGCCCACCTCGACCATCTCGTCGACTGCGCATCCATCTTCGGTCCTTGCGCTCCGCTGCCGCCCGTCACCCTGACATAGTTGATGCTCATCGCGAACCGCTCATTGCCGCTGAGCGCAGTCGCCGTCTGCTCCGCCGCCTCCTCTCCTTCCTCCTCTTCTTCCGCCGCCGCCTTGTGCGCATCGCTCAGCGCGCACAGCCGCTGCAGGCTCTGGGCACGCGCCTCCGTCAGCGGGCTCGATGATGCCATCGTCGTCGTCGTCGTGGTAGGGGACGAGGTGCAAGTGCCGCCGCCGCCAGAAGAGCAGACGGGACCAGAGGATGCGCTGGAGGTGTAGTCGACGCTGCCGCGGCTGTGTGTCGACGAGGATGACGAGGAGCTGCTGCTACTACTGTTGCTGCTGGGGGCGGACACTGGTGGTAGGTTGGTTGTGTGTAGCTGGGCGAGCCATCGCTGTGTTTGGATGAGGTTGATTTCTGCGGGCGCCATAACGATGATGGTATAATTTTTCCTTGTTGACTTTTGTATGATGATGATGGGAATGGTGAACATGTAGGTGTCACCTTTTCGCCTTTGTCCAGGGTTCAAAAAGCAGCAGGAACTGCTCTCGTACGTTCCTTGCCCCTTCCGCGAACCAGTGGCTAGACGTAAAGAAACATGCCGCAGAAAAGAACGGTTCCTCTCGGATTACATCACGTTCCAAAAGCTGCCCGCAGCCTGCACTAATGCGGGCAAAAGTGTTGCTGTTGGCCGCTGGTTATTCGGCTTGAAGCGTCAAGCGGTTGAGAGGCGCTACATGTGTCCGCGCCAACTTTGACAAGGTCAAGTCGGCAACTCTTATCTGATTATTCGGGGGGAACGAGCTCAACCTTGGTCGAAGTGGTGCAAAACAAACAAAAACGGCAGAAAAATGATGCTTGATTGCAGATGCGTTACAGCTACTCTAATTACTTAGTATAGACCTAACATATGCCTACCATATACAGGGAATATAGATATATCAGGCTTATTAGGCTGTTGGATCTAGTAGCTAGCTGTTGACTCTGGCGCTATTGACTCTGGCTATTAACTCTAGCTATTACGCTTTGGTATTATCAAGGCATATTCCCTATATATTCTAGGTATATGCCTTATATATATTTTAATATATTTAGTAGTAGTTGGCTGTTGACTGGCTGGCTATGGTCACAGCTAGCACCCGGTGCGATACCGTTGTACCTGCCTTTGAGAACGGTATGTTGCCGGCGGTGCTGCTCTTCATTGTGTGTAGAGCTGCGAATCCCCGAAGATGCCAGTCCCAGCGAATGGCTGTCGGCAGCATATACCAGTTCTTCTCCATGGCCTTCAACATGACCCGCGTGCCCGGTGTCAGAACGGGATCGGTCGGTGTCTTCGGGGGCTCCTTGAGTTGTTGAGCCATGATCTTGAGCTGCTGTATGAGGAGGGCGGCGTGCCAGTTTGCCTCGCCGAACACTCGTGTTCCATCAGGCTTCCATGCCGCCATCTGCGCTGCGATGCCCTCCGGCTGTCGCGGGACCAGGGCCAAAGTTGTGTTCCCCGGAGGGCTGCGGACCCATCCGATTGATGATGCGTGTTGTCGGTCTCCATCATTGGTGATGGTGTCGCTGAGTCGTGCCTGTAAGCTTGATTTGTTTGACTGGCTATTGATTGACAGGCTGTTAATTAACTGGTCTGTGGTTCGAGAAGGCTACTCAAGTATTACCTGTAGTACACGCAAAAGACCTGCAGCGCATCTGCAACGCATCCTGACCGCCTTCGTCAAAAACGCCCGACTTGAACTTGACCTCTGGCTCGGCCCCTCTGCACTTGAGGTACCTGCCTATATTTATGTCATGGTACCACTGGACCCTCCCTAGGTTTTAGTAGTGGGCTGCGCCTGGAACATTCGGACTGCCCGTGATAGAGCAAGGGAGATAGTCGACGTGACTAAATCTCGAAAGAAAAGCACATGCTGTTCAGACCAGACAAGTCGGCTTGTCATTGTAGATAGTTCACTTCATAAAACTGGCCAAGCTCAGCCCAGCGGAAGGCTTCTGCTGCGATGACAGCAGCGCCTGCAGGCCAGCTTTGCGATTCTTTGCTCGCTTCTTGCTGCTGGCATTGGTGTTAGGTTTTGGTTTCTCGATGCTCGGTCCAGGAATAGTTTCATTCTTGCTCCTCGATGCCTTGGTGCGTGCAGCCTTATCTGGCGCGGCAAGCCGAATTCTCGTAACACTTTTGCAATGGCCACATGCCAAGATTTTGCTTGGGCTCGTTGGTGCCGTAACGGCGCCGTTTCTATGGGACGTGCTCTTCTGGCGACAGGATCTTCGAGCTTCGAGTCTAAGTTCTGTCGCATGCCCAGGAATCATGATGTGGCCGCAAGCTGTGCAGACGTGCTGTCGATAAATGTCGGAGACGCACGAGCCTTGCTTGGAAAGATGGTCGGCGCAGTCGCTCATTAGATACGCAGACGTCTCTGGAGCAGCAAACCGTAAAAGATGAGCGGCATCAGAAAGAAAATTGGTCTTCAAAAGAATTTCTGCTGCTGCCATCTTGATGCCGCCGAGTTAGGATGTAGTTACGAATAGAAAGAGTCGGGCTCAAGTTTTTTGGAGCTGCCAAATATTTACAGGTGGGCGCTGCCAATGTGGGGTGTGTCTATCAACAACTCTCAATTCAACGCCTGCCATGCCGCCACAACACACCAGCCAAAAAGCGCCTCTACAATGCTGATTCCTGTAATTATGCCCTGCAGATTTCCCAGGTGATGTCCTTGATACTGACCTCTTCTCCGGCCTTTTCGTCGTAGTCGTACCATTCTCCGTCGATCAGCTCGATGCCGCTGAATTTGGAGCCCGAGTCGATGCCATCAGCCAACCACTCGCCCTGAATTCGGATGAGTAAGTATCATTGAGAATTGTCTGAAGAGACTAACCTCTGCTTTGAACTCCGTAAACTCGAGACCTCGACAGTCAAACTCAATGAGCTTTTGCGCCTTGGCAGGTTCATGTTGCTTGTAGGGAATGGCAGCGGCTTTCACAGTGGCGGTACTCTCTCTCTAATGAACCATCAGTGAATGAATTCTGGTTCGGCTTTGAAAATCTCACTTTGCAGTTCTTGCATCTCCATACAAAATTGGCCTCGCCACGGCTGCCGCTCATTTCATTCATTTCCTTTCCTCTGTCAGCTGCTTTCAAGATGAACAATAGTCTGTTGCGCTTACAAATCGATTAACACCGACATAGTTATTATGAATCTCTCGGCAAGAGGTGCACTGAACCTTGAACATATACCAGAACGGGTTCTCCTCCGTGTCTAGAGGGCGCAGGTTCGTGACGCTTCGATGTGTAAGTATCGTCGGCCTCACTCAGACCCGAATCTTGCAACATACCCCGAAAGCTCCGCGGTGAGAAGAAGTGTAAACATGTCGAGGAAATAGACTTGTTAGAAGATATTTTTCCGAGATATTTTTCTTTTGAGAAATTTCTTTGCCCGAGACAGATCCGTGTCGATACTTAGCTCCAATTCCCGTCGTTTTGGGTTGCGGTGGTGGGGTCAACCAAAGTATCTTGTACCTGATTGAATCACGTGGCACTATCGCAAACCTCGCGCCATGTGAAGCTTTCCTGATTCCACCCATTCGAACATCAGGAAAGAGGAAAAGCCTCGCGCAACATCCATTGCGGCCAATTCGGCGTGCCATGCAGCCGAATGCAGTCTCTATGGAATAGAGCCAGTCAGGCTCACCGCTGCGGTTGCCGCGTGTGTAGCACGTCGGTGAATGCTTTGGGCAGAAGAACAACCACGGCAGCGGGTCGTCGCAAAGCAACTTTTGCTGAAATCTTTACAGCATGTTACAGCTCCGTGTTTGCATCCGCCGCCGTCATAGATTCACTGCAAAAGGACAAGAGACGAAGAGAATTGGATCAAGAATTGGAGCACGCAAGGCAAGAGCTTACCGAACTCAAGGAGAAGAGCAAATCGGCGCCATCACTTCACAGCACCAACCGCGATGGACTCACCGTCGAGCAGATGGACATTCTTTGGAAGGCTATGAAGCAGATAATCAACGAGCGTCCTTACAGAAAGAACGTTCTCTACCCAGCGACTCTTACTGCTTCCAGCGTCACGGAGTGTCTTCGCAAAGACTACTACAACTGCCCGACTCAGACGATGCTCCAAAGAGGGCGGCACATTGACTACGACGATCTCGACCGTGCAATACTGAACGAAAGCGAGCAAAGTTCTGCTCCAGGCTCCCGCACTGAGACACACCTTCGAAACGAAACTTTGCGATTCCGGAGATTGGTCAACGCCCTCCTCAAGCAAGCAGATCGTATGGACCGAACAGGCATGCAAAGCAAGAGCTTTGAGCAAGCCAGCGAATTGCTCAATTGCAACACCCGTATCAATTATTCTTTTAGATCAGCTGATCCCGAGGCCGCGCGGACCATGACTCAAGAGCTCAATGGGAGTCTTCGCAAAATCCTTGCAACTCCCATGTCGCTCAAAGAGAAAATTGGTCGCCTCTGTTACAACATGTTGATCTCAACACATGTACCGGATATACACACATATAACACGTTGATCGCCGGGTTTGACAAATATGGCTTGCCCATCATGTCAGATCAGGTCATTTACTCCTTCTTCTATGGGCGATATATCAAACCTACAGAGTCAACCTTTGTAGCGATTTTGAATCACAACAAGCTGAGGAACAGGCCCGGGGAATTCTTGCTCAACATGGCGCGTATCACCGGCATGAACGAAGTTGGTGTCAAGCTGCGACGAAGACACCAGGATTCAATGTTGCGCTTTTTTGAGAGAAGGTGGTTGATGACGGAGCGAGCATCAAAATCGAGAGCAGGCGAGTATATCATGCAGCGTTTGCCGCTCACTCCGGAGCTGTTGGAAGAGATGATTAGAGGTTTGCTGCTCTTTAAGCTGTTTGAGCAGGCGGCTGTGCTATTTGTTGGCTGCCTCAAAGCTGGCGTTACTTTGGCAAGCAATTTGCTTCCCCAATTACTAGACGAATGCATCTCGGCCTTGGATTGGTCAGCCAGCGTGCGGTTGGTACGCGGTATGAGCGAATTCTCGCGACAGTGGTTTCAGATTATGGCCGAGAGTGGCCATGACGGGCTTCAGCTGATTAATCGAGTGCACAAGCTGTTGGACCTTTGCGGAATCAGTATTCGTGGGCAATCATTACATGTTACCGCCAGACGCCTGCAAATTTCGGTACACGGACTGTCCGAATTGATCGGCGCTCTGAATAGTACGGGTATCTTCCTGGAACCGAGCAGTTTCATGAACAAATACGACCCAGCCAAGAGCCGATGGCTCCAACTTGAGAGTATTAGCAAGGAATACATCAAGGTGCGAAAAGCAACAAAATCGATTGAAAGCAAGCTGCTGAATGCGGACCATGGGCAACAATTTCGCGAGGACTGTGCTATTCACATTAGCGAGTCGGCCTTGGAGCAATCGAAGAAGCTGAGGAAGGAATTCTACAAACTTCATTTGAGTGGGCAGCAAACAGGTGAAGAGGATGAGCAAGTGAGCAGGTCAGTGCGGGCTATTAAGACTGTTCAGTATCGGAGGACGCATGGTAGGCCGAGAATAGTTGCTGCGCAACTTCTCGCCTCGGATCGCCAGTTGACGCTGCAATCGAAACGCAAATCGGTTTGGCGACCTCATGCCACGGCAGTAAATGCTGGGGCTGGCTCTACATAGGAGAGAGTGTACTATCAAAGAAGAATTGTGTACCATATTAGCATAGCGAACCTCCTTTTCTTTCTCCATGTCTCGCACAGCTTGACTCGGGAGAGACCACAGCCCGATATAGATGTACAATACGGAGTACCGTGAGATACGAATCGAAACCTACAAAAAGATGCTGTTCAAAAAGACAGTGCGATACAGTATCGTTCAACGACGCATTCAACGGGACCCCAGAAGCGGCGCAACCATTTTAGTGTTTGGACGAGCTCCAAGTAGACAAAGTCAAACGACGTACATTTTGGGCGTGGACCAGTCACGGCGCCCACACAAGGCACGCCTCTGAGCAGAGAGCAGGAGTGGCTCAAGAGGAAAAGTGCCAAGGTCAGAGGCAAATACCAAAAAACACAGCACATGGTGTAGAAGTGGGAGAAAATCGCGCTTCTATTTCCATCTTGACTTCGGTGGCGCATGGTGTTGTGCTACATGGCGACTCGGAGGTTTTCTGGTGTGGTTATGCGAGGCCGTCCGTCTTCTGGTGAAGAGATGCGACCCAAAGTCAAGGAAACTTGTGAGTCACCTTTCTTGAGGATGACTCGCTGTTTGCACCAACCCAACTCATAGCGTCCCGTCTCTTGGCATCAGAATTCCTTCTTTTCCCATCCAACAGGTTCTTGATTTTCCTTTGTGAAACCATGGGCAACCACCACCGAACCAACCTGTTCTGCCTTGTTGACAAGTGCTTTGCAAGTGGTGTCGGCTGGAAAAAACAAACTTGTGGAGTGGAGTGGCACGACTTTGTGGCGCAAAAAAAAGGTGGGTGGCACATGGTCCGGTGTTTCCTAACCGCCCGTTGGAGACCGCCATCACCGTTCAAAGCCTGCGGTCCCTAAATTTTTTCTGCAGGTGCTTACTCGTTATTGTCATGTTGCTTTTTTTCCCCAGCGTCATTCTCTCCTCATTGATCGCTCATCAGACACTCATTATCTCCCTTGTTTGCCAGTGTCTCAGTGCACCCCCACCTCCGCGCCAGCATACCGACGTACCGACCAGCTTCCCCCCAGAAATCCGTCACCTGCAGCGAAAAAGAAGGATCATCTAATTCAAGGAACCCCACCAGCCAGCGGCGACGAGCTAGCTCCCAAAGCTCCTTGGCTCTGGCTCCCTATTTAGCTTCTGAGACATAGCTTATATCTGGCCCGCGCCTGCATCAGTCGCTGCAGACGTGACCCTCACAGCGACTCTTGCGGTGAAATCGCGACTTTGTGGAAGCTTCAGTCCAGGCCCAAAGCAGTCGTTTTCGTCTGGAAACGTGCGGCGCAGCTGGTCAAGCACGGTTTGAAAGGTCGGCTCCAGGCCCTCCCACAATACGTATCCGCAACGCTGGACCCTGCAACCGGCTGCCGGCTTCGCATGGGCCACTATCCGACCTTCTGACAACCACCTAGTAATAATCCGTGGTCACGCGGGGGACCATTGCCCTGCTTCTCCAACATTCTTATTCCACTGCTCATCTAACTCCTCGATCCTCTACGGCGTTTTCCTTCAACAGCACGAGACAGGACAAGCCATCCGTTGCACCGTTCTTGTTGGCTCGGTTGCTTCTGGACCTCTTGACCTCTGACGAGCATCCCCCCACACTCCCCCGTGCGAAGCTCGTGAGCGGATCAAGTCAATTGGCTGCGTTTCAGTACCTTCATTGCCAACATGAAGTTCGGGCGAAAGTGAGTCCAGCACCGTGACTGTCCTCAACTGTTGCTGTCCAATCCCTCCTCCTCGCGCCAGCGTCACACCGCCAGACACTGACAAGCCACCTCTCAAAGCCTCCCGCGCAACCAGGTCCCCGAGTGGGCAGCCTCATACATCAACTACAAAGGGCTCAAGAAACTCGTCAAAGCTGCTTCCGAAAAGGCAAAGAATGGAATCGCGGTGGATCCTGCAGGTGGGCGGCCTCGTCCTTGATGCCTCTGATATGTCTTTGCTCGACGAAGGGGGGAGGTTCGCTCCATTCCCCCCGTGACCTAACGCCATTCTCTTCTGCAGAGCTCTTCTTTGCCCTTGACCGCAACCTCGAAGATGTCGACTCTTTCTACAACAAAAAATATGCCGACGCTTGCCGCCGCGTCAATCTCCTCCAAGACCGCTACGGCCGCATCCCCGATGTCGTCGCAACCCTTGACGAGGATGAGGTCGAAGAGGTCATGGGTGCGCTGCTCGAGCTTCGCACCCTCTTGCGCAATATCCAATGGTTCGGCGAGATCAATCGTCGCGGTTTTGTCAAAATCACCAAAAAGCTCGATAAAAAGGTGCCCGGCATTGCCGCTCAGCATCGCTACATCTCCACCAAGGTCGACACCAGGCCCTTTGCCAAAGACGGCAGCACCTCCCGTCTTCTTGTCGAAATCAATCGCTGGTTGTCTTCTCTGAGCGACGCGCAAAACGTTGATGACGCCAAGTCGGATCGTTCTACGCGCTCCCTAGGTCGTGCTTCCACCAAGGCTATGCTAAATCTGCCGCAGGCACAACTCGATATTCTTGATCAGGCAGTGCGAGCTGATGACGACAAAGGCCTCGACGAGGTCATTCACAACACTGTCACTCCGTCCGAGCCTGCTTCGCAAACATTGATGCTGAACTTGCTTCAGAGATCCATTTCGGCTCGCGCAAAGAAGTGCATTGTGCTTTTGCTGGGCCTTATCAAGCATCTCGATGAGCCTGACGATATCAACGGTCGCAACTGTATTCACCGGTTGATTATTCACATTGGCCGAACAAAGTCTGCTGCCAATGTGGATGACCGGCCCGTGCCAGCCGGCACGCAGTTTTCTACTCGGCACTTGCAACCCGCTGTCTCTGCCGCTGTTACCATCAAAGCCATTAACACCAAGGAATCGCAGCTTCTCGACAAGAATGACGAAACTGTTCAGTTGCTACTCTTCCTGCTTGACAACCTCAAACCTGAACAGCGTATTTCTCTGCGCACTCGCGACTCGTTCGGCCGCATGCCTCTGCACTATGCTGCACAGGCTGGCTTTGTTGTACTTTGCCAAATCCTCATGGCTCGCATGCAGGAATGGGACCAGTTCGATGTCAGTGATGGTATCGACGCCCCTGAATGGCAGGACAGTGAGGGTTATGCTCCTCTGCATCTCAGTGTCATTGGTGGCCATCCTCTCACCACCAAATCGCTGTTGCAGGGTGAGGATTGGCAGGGAAGCAATAATGCTAAGCCCGCGCTACGAAAGATGGTTGGAAAATCCGGCGCTGTTCTTGCTATCGCGACCAAAGCAAATTACTGGGTTATTGTACAGATGCTGCTTGAAGCTGGTGTTGACGTCAATTGGCGCGATGCGACAGGCGAGACAGCCCTCCATGTCGCTGCCCGCTTCAATCACCGTGAATGCGCCGAAGTCATTCTCACGGGTACTGAATCTCAGAAAGCAGATACGGAGCTGACTGAGAACTCTTACTCTTGGACACCGCTGCATGTGGCTGCCGTAGACGGCTCGCTTGATGTTGTGCAGCTCCTGATCGAGGCTGGCGCGCAGCTTGCTAAGCCTGATGCGTCCGGCTGGACGGCCAAAGAGCACGCTGCTCTCCGCGGTCACATGGACATTGCGCGGCTCCTTGGCTCTTATACGGAGGAGGAAACTGAGGAAGCGCCCAAGCGCCCAGCTGATCAGGGCCTGTCTTCCAGCCCACCGGAGGCTTCGTCAATTGATGGTCGTCGGTCGAATGGAACGGCTATCAACGGTCAAGCTCGTCCTGTCGAGTCTGTCAAGACCTTTGGTCATCGTTATCTCCGCAACGAAAGCTTGGTTTTGGTCAGCCTCGGCTCCATGGATCTGCGTAAGAGGACAGAGCCTGTCAACCTCGATAGCATCCCGCTCAACGAGGCGCATAGTACGCAACTCGACACAGCACTATCGGTCGTTGTCTCTGCCACCGGAGCAGTTGGCGAGCCTACCATCATCGACTTGCCCGTGCATGATGGTATTGCCACCGAACCTGTAGTCTTTACCACTGGTGATGCCGAGAAGGTAAAACTCATGTTTGACATTGTGCCCACCTATTCCGGCAACCAGAAGGCCAAGGTTGGGCGTGCCATAGCTCTTCTTTCATCCGTCAAGCCTACCATGGGCTCTGGTCGCATGAACCTGCAAGGTGATGTTTGCGTGCCGATTATGTCGAGCAATTTTGACGTTATCGGAACCGTAAACTTCAACTTTCACGTCATCACACCTTTCCACCACCGCAACATGGAGATTACATCCCGCCAAACATACTGGAAGAAACTCGAGACTACGATGCTCATCGGTCACCGCGGTCTCGGAAAGAACGCCAGCTCCAATAAATCTCTGCAGCTCGGTGAAAACACGATTCCTTCCTTCATTGCCGCCGCCAACTTGGGAGCCCAATACGTCGAGTTTGACGTTCAGCTCACCAAGGACCACGTCCCTGTCATTTACCACGATTTTCTTGTCAGCGAGACGGGTATCGACGCGCCCGTGCACACTCTCACGCTTGAGCAGTTCTTGCACATCAACCCTGACACGCGCCGAGCCGATGAGCGGGCCAAGCACGCCGACTCTAACACGTCCGGCTCTCGTGTCCGCAGCAGCAGCTTCGCGCCAAAGCGCTCGCAGTCGATGGGCTTTGCTGGCACCGGGGCCGGCTTCGGCGAAATGGAGGAGCGCATGAAGCACACGCGCGACTTTAAAGAAAAGGGCTTCAAGGCCAACTCTCGAGGCAACTTTATCCAAGCACCGTTTGCCACGCTGGAGGATCTATTCCGCAAACTGCCAGTGCACATCGGTTTCAACATCGAGATGAAGTACCCGATGCTGCACGAGACGGAGGAGCACGACATGGACACCTACGCTGTCGAGCTCAACTCTTTCTGCGACACTGTGCTGTCCAAGGTCTATGATCTTGCGGGTGAGCGACACATCATCTTTAGCTCATTCAACCCGGATATTTGCCTGGGTCTGAGCTACAAGCAGCCGTCGATCCCCATACTGTTCCTCACAGATGCTGGCTGCAGCCCCGTCTCGGATATCCGCGCTTCGTCGCTGCAGGAAGCTATTCGATTCGCCAGCCGCTGGAATCTGCTGGGTATCGTGTCTGCGGCAGAGCCGCTCATCAACAGCCCTCGGCTTGTCAAGGTTGTTAAGGAGAATGGATTGGTGTGTGTAAGCTATGGCACACTTAACAACGACTCTATCATGGTCCAGGTTCGTACATGTTCCCTTGAGAGCGAATATCAAAATCGGTTGTCTAACTGTTCGAACTGCAGCGACAAGTAAAACAAGGTATTGATGCGGTCATTGTCGACAGTGTCTTGGCCATCCGCAAGGGCCTCACCGCGGGAGAATCGACAGGCACCGCTATCGAAGCATCGTAAAGAGGAGGGTTTATCTCAACAAAAAAAGTAAAATCACACATAATACAGTCAAAAAAAAGTATGCGGCATTCAATAGTCATTAAGCTTATCATCATCTTGAACAGTCAATGTTCTTGAGATCATGAAGTAAATCCCGTGTCGTGGCGTGGTCAATAAGAGAGAGATCCATCACTCGCCACTTGTAGTCACATTACAAGTATTGCAATCTGTCCTGAGGCCATCCCAATACGCACGCTCAGAGGAGCCAGTAAATCAACAGCCAGTGAATCAACAGCTAGTATATCAACAGCTAGTATATCAACAGCTAGTATATCAACAGCCAGTCCATTAACAGTCGGTCCTTCAACAACATCCAACCAGTCAACAAACAGCCAGTCAGTTAACAGCCAAGTCAGTCAATCAGCAGCCGGTTAATCAGGAATAAAAACTAGCTACTAACTAGCTGCTGTATTAATTGCTTCTTCTAATACGCCGAAGCTAGTTCAGCTGTTGATTGACTGGCTGTTAATTGACTGGCTGTTGATTAACCGGCTATCGATCAAGACTGGCTTATTTATTATACTGTAGCGCATCTGCAAGGGACCTGCAATTAAGCATTCTTCTACCGCTCTTGGTTCCGCTAACAATAGCGCCATCACCATCCTTAAGGTCGGGAGGTTTGCTAATTTGCTACTATAACGAAGATGTGATGGATGACAATGTATTGTGGAAGAGTGGGTGCCCTGTGTGGTGTCTGCCTGACAATTACCTAGGCTGCTAGGTAGGTACCCAGTGGCCGTCCATTTTGGGGGGTAAAGAAAGCTGCCGCTCGCTCTCTACCTTATTAATGCTACGTTCTTAATTACAGCACTAGAAGAAGCTAATAAATATTCTTAGTAATCTAAAGTAAGTACTTGATAGATTTCCAAGTCTATGAATCCTTTTTTTATCATTCTAGACTGGCTTGTTGTTATGAGAACGGCATTTTGGAAGTAAGCTGCCTTCTCGAAACCGGTCGTTTTTTTTTATTTTCCCCACGGCCGCCAAACTCTGCCTGCCCCTCCAAAAAATTTCAGTGCCCCTCCATCGCCAGGTACCTAGTCAGTTGCGACACCACCACTCGGTTGCGACACCCACCGCTCGATTTTACAAACATAGTTACTTTGCAGAAGAGATGGAAATGGCTGCGGGAGCGCAAAATGTTCAAGGCTCGTCCGAGTTCTTCCAGTCAATCGGAAACAAGGTCGAGGGCCTTGCGCCCAAGGCGAATGGCGACCATGAGGACCTCCAGCCCGTCGAGGAAATCGAGTCGCTTTGCATGAACTGCCACGAAAATGTTGGTCTTTTGTCTGGAACACTTTCTACAAGTACTAACATTTGATAGGGCGTCACAAGAATCCTTCTTACTTCGATCCCTTACTTCCGCGAAGTCGTCATCATGTCCTTTAGCTGCGAGCAATGCGGCTTTCACAATAACGAGATTCAACCGGCCGGAACGATTCAGCCCAAAGGCACGCACTACGAATTACGACTCACAGACCTTGCCGACTTTGGCCGTCAGGTCATCAAGTCAGACTCCGCCGTTGTCAAATTCATCGAGCTTGACCTCGAGATTCCGGCCGGACGCGGCCAACTCACCAACATCGAGGGCCTCCTCTCCACTGTTCTGGATGATCTCGAAATCGGACAGGAGGCACGCAAGGAGCAGGCTCCTGAGGTACACACCAAGATCGCCGAAATCATCACCAAAGGCCGCGCTATGCTCGCCGGCGAGTCATTTCCCTTCCGCGTCTACGTTGATGACCCGGCTGGCAACTCTTTCATTGCGCCCGACCTCAAAGATGGTGTCGGAAAGTGGGAGAAGCGCGAGTGTCCTCGTACATCTGAACAGAATGCTGCCCTGGGCCTCGCTGACAGCGATGTCAATGCCGCTATTGCCGCCAAAGAGGCAGGCTCTGGCAGCGGGGGCTACCCTGGCTTGACTTCTGATGGCGAGATTATTCCTGACGAGGTTTACGACTTCCCCGCTACTTGTCCCGGTTGCATGCACGCCTGCGTCACCCACATGAAGATGGTTGATATCCCCCACTTTAAGCAGGTTGTCCTCATGTCTACCGTGTGTGGTGACTGCGGCTATCGCTCAAATGATGTCAAGACGGGCGGTGAAATCCCCGAGGAAGGCGAGGTCATTACTTTAACCGTCGAAGACAACTTTGATCTTGCGCGCGACATTCTCAAGAGTGAGACTTGTGGTCTCGAGTGCCCAGAGCTGCAACTGCAGGTCAACCCCGGCACTCTCGGTGGCCGCTTTACTACCGTCGAAGGCCTGTTGACACAGGTTCGCAACGATCTTCACGGTCAAATCTTTGATGCCAACGGTCAAAGTGGACAGGGCGGCGACTCTATAGTATCTTCTGATCGCACCCAATGGGATACCTTTTTCGAGGGTCTTGATGCCGCCATCCGCGGCGACAAGAAGTTTAGCGTCATCCTTACCGATCCCTTCGCCAGTAGCTTTGTCCAGCCCTTGGTCGACCCCCCGGCACCTGATCCAAAGATTACGCGCACCAAGTACAAACGTACGATGGAGGAAGAAGAGGAGCTGGGTCTAGGCGATATGAAGGTTGAAGGGTACGATGAGGCTGAGCAAGATGGCACCAATGTCGAGGCCAAGGAATAATATTTCATCGCAAGAAAAAGTTGAATCAATGAAGTCATGACTGGTGTGGAGGTAAAACAGAGCATATTTTGTTAATTTCTGGAGAGGCGTTGTTACATAGAAAGGTGAGGATGCTGCGAGCAGCATCACGAATACAATGGTATTTATTCGATGGCAGATTATTGTGACTGGTTTCCGAACAGCATTGGTTCTGTCGTATATTGTTGTAATCTCAATTCTCAATAAGCTAATCTTTAACAATTCGCAGCGCAATACCATTCATGGTAATAACGGCCAAGCAATGTATGCGAGCAATATAAGCTGATGTTCTCGCTAACTACAAACAAAGACTGTGCATCTCCACAGTGCAATCTACAAGAGGGCCATTCTTGTAATGATTAGACAAAAGAAAAAAAAAATAAAAAATAGGTATCTCCCTCAGCGTAGCTTGTCTGCGGTCCTTGGTATACTTCCCCCCTTCCCCACGAGCCCTGAGGCTCGAAATCATTGCCCAGGTAAGGAAAAGAAAAAGAAAAGAAAAAATGGACAAAAAAACAAGCAAAGGCAAAGCTTGCGCTCTCAATCTGGAAAAGAGGAGGAGAGGGAGGAGAAATTATTCTTCTTTTTTCCCCAATATGGAAATGATGTAAAATTAACTGGCAAGATAATGTTGCCAGATGCTGTGAACTCGTGCAATGTCGCTGAAACTTTTCCAAACTCGACTTGTTTCCCAAAGGGGGATTGCACGGCGTTTCTGTTTTTCTGTTTTTCTCTTTTTTTTTTTTTTAGAAAAAGGATGGTTTGGTGAGGACCCGATACTCGACGTAGTCTTCGCCGTCAATCGTGATAATGGTGCCCTGCGACACGAGCTTTCCCATAAAGGGTCCCGTCGGCTTGCGCTCGTACTTGACGCCGTCGTAGATTTTGGCGTCCTCGGAGCCGGCGCGCAGGCGCAACGACTCCTGGCGCGCCCAGACGCGATTCAGGCGCTCAATATCCTCGGACTCGTGGAACAGCGCGCGGCCGCTACCGTTGGTCATGGGTGGGCTGGGCACCGTGATGCTGCCGGCGACGGCGGCAGCTGCGGC